TATCGAAATAATATGGACGATAAATCAATAATTGGAAGAAAATATTTCAACAAATATTTTGATCACGCGTATAAACAAATAAATAGATGAATCAATCTTATATCATATTCCATGTCCATTGCAATTTTGTATAAGTAATAATAAGAATGACAAAAAATGTGTAAATCGCGTTAACATTTGTATTATTAACGAATTGTAATGCAAGCTACTACTGTAGGTGCGTATGCTCGCTCCTTGTTCTATTCCGGTAGGACGAGCTTTTAACAAACGATCGTTAATATTTAACGACGTCGTTAATTCTCAAGGGAGCAAGATGGCCGCAGCTGTAATGTTCTCAATTTTATCCAAGATGAAATCAGCGCAAGCGCATCCTATCTTTATTATAGAGAGATCTAAATACAATATTTTTCTTCATAAACTGTTGCGATATAATATTTAAGTCTTTCATGATTCCATAGGAATCGCAATTAAAAAAGGTTTACAATTAAATACTAAGTTTCGATCTATTATTAGTATCTATGCACTTATACGAGAATCATTACTTACAAAATGTTATAATATTATATTTTCATATAATTTTCATTGTAAAATTATTATTTTTTCTTTCGAGTAATTATATAATTCGTTAAATTTTTACTCATTAAATAAGAGAAGTAGTTCAAGGTCGATCTTAAAGAGCCGGAAAGCTCTCCTATTACAATTATATCGCGTATATTCCAATTACACTTTAATTGGAATAAAATATGATATATCCGAGTGGATTATATTGCAGAGAACTCTTTTTCTTTGTTGGTAGAAAAGAAAAAAACATAGGGCAAAGAATATCGTAAGGCCTGCGGGATGAAATCTCGAAGAGGTCGTGTCGTGAGCAACCCCCTACGGTAGTCCAAAACTAAACACTAAAACACTGGATTAAGTGGGGTACATACGTTGCATAAACATCTTGGCTCCACGGGGGTAGGCAAGATTGGATAGTGAACAATTTCAAAATGGGTGACCCTTCGTAGAGATGACATTTTATAACTTTTCAAAATTCATGTCAATTCTATCAAAGTAGCAAAAGCATTCCGCTATGCTGCTCTTGTATATAATTAGGAAAAACTTCTAGAAAAAAAAATCTCAAAGAAGCTTCGCTGTATCTTGTAACTGTCCTTAACGATCAAACAATTTCTGGATCTCGTATTGCACGATGAGCAATGTTCTCTAACGAATCGAAACTATTCGAATTTAGCAAAGAAACGAAAAATAGGAACTTTTGACGAGGATTCGCGTTAACGTTGAACAAGAAGAAGAAGCAGAAGAAGAAGAAGAACTTACTTGCTTTCCGAAATAGCAGCATCAGCGGATAAACATGTCTTATTTTGAGAGCTGCTAGGGCAATTCTCTCTCTTTCTCCTTCTCTATCTACCCCTTCTCTGTTCTCTTTCCCATTCACACAATTTCTTTCCTATGGATTTTAGCTAGGATTTTACGGAAAGGAAATACTATCCAGAAGCCGGCGAGCATTACCGATAAATTGCAAGGAATGAAGGAAAATCACGAGGATTTATGATTCAATTCATTATAGCCGTCATGTTATTCGTATCAAATGAATCGATAGATTGATAAGACGACGTGCGTTCGACGCACTTATCCATAACGACTGCTTGATAAAGACATTAGATTGGTTTATTTAAAAAATAAAACACCCTTAAAGGAGCCTAAAATACTGTTTCACCCGTGGCGGATGTAGGTTCGGAGTGTAGGTTCGGAGCGTAGGTTCCGAGCGTAGATTCCGAGCGTAGGTTCCGAGCGTAGGGTTTGTAAGGCGCAGCCACGATCAGCGGTATAAAATTACGGTATCGTGTAAACAGAATATCTCGTCGGCACGTCTGATGGCCGCTTGGGTGGCCGTCAGGCTTTCACGTGTTCTCCACAAGCATCGGGACTACGGTTACGTCGAGTCGCGGTCTTCCCTTTTCTTCGCGATCTGTTAGTTAGATAACGTCAAATGGAAACGATACTAACTTTTACTGAGCACCAAGTCGATCTACCTTTCAAAAAATGAACAATTACCTAGGTAAGTTTAGTTCAATTTTCTTTTCAATATGTTTCCTACAATGAACATGACATTTGCGCGAACTACGCTAAACTTTAATCCGAAGAACGCACGCCTAGATAGTTTTGATTATCATTTTCAAGAGGGTAACATTCGTCCTGTTCTTTTTTCAAATGAACAAAAAATGTAAAATATTAGACATTTCTCAAGGATTTGTCTTCCTCGGAGAAAATTTATGAGACAAATGGATATTAGAAGTTTTCCTCTGCTAAGAGGGCTCTTGAGAGAAAAAGTCGAGGTAGAGTAAAGTAAGGCAACGGGAGCATTTAAAGGAAGAAAAAATAAAAAAAAAATGCGGGGATGGAAAGAGTCACGAGCATTCCACTTTCAACCCTTAAGCCACGAGGCCTATTACCCAATTTCCTAGGCGACAAATCAAAACAAGTGTCCTCTTGCACGAAAGATACTCGACTCTTCGCTGGGAAGAAGGAACCATCCGAACAAGGAAAAAGGAGGAAAATGTCTTTTCACTATATCGGTTCATGCGATCGGTTCATGCGATCGGTTCATGCGATCGGTTAATGCGATCGCTGCATAAATTGTCTATTCGCTTGGAAAATTTTACAGCTATATATTAATGATCAATTCTTTAGTCTCTCAATAGTCTATTACCTTGACAGTTCTAAAGAATTGTTTAGAAGATGAAATCAAGAATTTCTTGTGATCTATTAAAGATCGTGCTCGTTACGCGGGTCTATATACCTAAATGCGCGAGTAGAGAGGGAAAAGTAAGATGGCTGTGTCGCATCTCTTTCAGCGGATAGATCGTAAAGCAAACAAACTTTCGGGGAATACATGGTCGAATGGCGTACGTTGTCCTCCAGGAAATGGAGGGTGACATTAAACTATACCTAAGTTTTCTTCACTATATTACAAATCTTCTTTCGTTCTTAAACATATTCGCTTTTGAAATCATTCATTAACTATAAATATATATACTTTACTAAATGATAAAATTAAATCATTTCAATGCTAAACCTATTAAATATTTATAATATATAATCGATCTTCGACAAAAAATTACATTTTCAACGGGCAGAATTGATAGTACTAATTTAAATAATAAATAAAACAATTTGGAGACAATAATAAAATAGTAATAAAGTTAAATGAAGAAAAAACGATATCATTTAATCAAAAATATAAATGAAAAATGTCAAATTCAAATGATTTGACCGGGACGTTTAATTCGTTGAAGCGATACTGCGCCATGACTTTTTATTAGTGTCTCATTACTTTTATTCTAATCTTTCCTTCATGATCCATCGACAGATTAATTTTCTGACAATGAGATTCGATCATAGAAATTCGTCGAGACGAGGATCAAGTGTCTCAAGGATCGTAATAAAATGGAGTGCACCGATGAATGAACATATGGGATGTGATTTTTTATATAGCCGGTCATTCGACACCTCGTCACGCGCCATGACGCATAAACATCGTATTGATTTAACTGTCCTGCTCGATAAAGCAAATTACGATTAGAGCGTGTGCAAGATAAGCTATTAGTTCAAAGGACAACGTTTCCTGATTAATCCTTCGAAGAATAAAATATACTGGCTTTTTGTAGTACGCCTTAATCTTATCTAATGTTTCTAAATAATATCATATTCAATGAACTACAACAAAGTGTTGTCCAAATGATGATACTTTATTCTTGCCAATTATTTTGACGGTAGTCAGTAATGACATATGACCGGCATACATTGCGTGTATGACCGTGCAATGGAAAATGAACTCATATAATATGTAAAACTTTCCGAAATGTACAATTCCAGATCATAGAATGTTTTTTCGTTCATTCATAGGAGAGATTTTTCTTAATTATATTCGATATAAACTTATGCAAAGAACAATTCATTCAAGTATATACGAATGTAATAATGATTCGATATTATTGAGTAGCCACTTTCTTTAATATCAGTATCATAGCCAAGTAAGTGTCCTCCTACGAGGGTATATAACTAAAATGGGTGTTTCGAGAAGTGGGCGGTGCCAAGCGTCTCGTTGGTTAACGTGCCGGCCAACTGTTACTCGTATTTCTAATTTTTCCTATGATACATATTATCACGAATATGAATATTAAAAAGTGTAAGATTTATTTTTTCTTCGTCAAAATTGTCCCGATAATTTTAACTTTGATTTAATTCTATCTGTTGTAGGGGTATTCATGTTTGATCTTCTTCAATTTCAAATTGGATTACATTAAGTTCAATTGTCAAAGAAAGTTTCTAATGACTTTTCTAAAAATAAGAAAAAAAGAAAAATGTTAAACTTTTGCCAGTTATCTATACGTAAATAGGAAATTGTATGTATCTCTTAAATGTCACTATACTACAAGACGCGAAATTTTCCGATAATCCATTCGCGCGGATGCGAATAAAATAGGAGCAAAATAAAATGCAGAAAGAAAGAAAGAAGGGAAGGGAAGGGAAGGGAAGAGAAGGGAAGGGAAGGGAAAGGAAAGGAAAGGAAAGGAAAGGAAAGGAAAGGAAAGGAAAGGAAAGAAAAGTTAAGTTCATCATAGATGCCTATGGTAAAAGTTGTTGCCGTCAGACATGACGCGAAGAAGAAATACCATTTGCTGATTCGTCGAGAGTGGGAACAGCTCGACCAATCGATTTGAGAAATACCCACGCTCCTCCAGCTCGCATCACGCCTCCAAATAGGAAAGAAGACTATAGCTCTTGAGAAGGCCGGAAATCCAGTCGCTCGAAAACACAATAATGTTCCACATCATCGCGTTGGATAGTGGATCGATCGGTTGTGCCCTTTAACCGGGATACTTAATCATGAGGATTAAATGAAAACAAAAATATTCAAGGATAAAATCGAATAATCTAATTGTGCTGAAATAAATAAAAAAAGAGAATATTTGTGAGACAGTGCGAATCATCTAACGTTAACTGTTATGTTTTGGTTTGGTATCGCGAGTCGGAGGAAGAATTAGGGAAAATGTTCGACTTGAGTTAGTGAGGATTGTGATAAGATTCGATGGATCAAAGCATGATAGTGACGTCGTTGCCGCGAGGAGGATCTCTCTCGGAGATCAACCGGAGACAACATACGACATCGACGGCGACAACGATGATGAAAAACGAATCGGAAAGTAGCAATATTCATGTGCACGGGCAAGAAACGCAGTCGCAGTCGCAGTCGCAGTCGCAGTCACAGTCACAATCACAATCACAATCACAGTCCGTCGGACAGGCAAGTTCGACGTTAATGGGTGCTCGTACGAATTTGGGATTGCACGGGAATCTTTCGCAAAATCAAAACATGGAACAAATAATGTGCAATCCGTCGAACACGGAAGTGACCCGTAAGCCTGGTGCGCGTCGTCAAGAGAAGCCGCCTTATTCGTACATTGCTTTGATCGTCATGGCGATACAATCGAGCCCAGGGAAGAGACTGACACTCTCAGAAATTTATTCCTTTCTTCAACAACGCTTCCCCTTCTTTCGCGGCGCGTACCAAGGCTGGAAAAACTCGGTTCGACATAATCTTAGCTTGAACGAGTGTTTCATTAAATTACCAAAAGGTCTTGGTAGGCCTGGAAAAGGTCATTATTGGACCATCGATCCTTCGACCGAGTATATGTTCGAGGAGGGTAGCTTTCGTCGTCGGCCACGGGGATTTCGTCGTAAAGGACAAGCCTTGAAGGCTCAATATCCTCAATATTTTTCCACGGGTGGACCGGTAGGCGTTCAAGCTGGCTACGACAATTTAGCAGCGTCCGGCGGCATGGATTACGCTAATGGTTATCAAAATCAGTATCAGAATTATCAGGAATACGCGATGTATGGGCCAGCGGCAGCTGTTTCCGCGGATTGGAGCTATCCCGAGTCGAGTTACAAAACTCCCCCCATAGCCGAAGTCACCTATAAAACAACCGAGGTCACTTATAAGACTGGGGAACCTTCGTCCGTTTATCGTAACGGCGAATTGGTTACGTTTAAGAGCGAGCCCGGTTACGGTACCAGTAGAAATCAGGATCAGTTAAGCACCGTGGCTGCTGCCGCCGCCGCCGCCGCCGCCGCCGCCGCCGCTTACAGACCGATTGACGGATTTCAACTTAAGGACCACCATCCTCAGCATCAGGAAACAATATACAAGGATAACGAAAGTATGATGATCTACAAGTGCGCGGGTAATCCCACCGTGAACGCTCAACCTACTACCGGACAAGACTATTACGTGGGTTATGGTGGTATCGGTGTCAACAATCCTGGCGTTCCAGCCACGGCTAACGTCAACGTCAATCTCCCCATGCAGACGGTTCACGAACAAAACGGAAACGGCAGTCCTGCTGGAAACGTAACTTCGCCGCACAGTCAAACACCTGTCGGCACCGATCATGGTCAGTTATCGACAGATGCTTCATTTCCCACCATTTTTACCTTTACATTTTTCTTTTCTTCGAGATGAAATAAATAAGAATTCAAAAAGAACAGAAATGAAATTTCGGATCATCGAAAATTGGCAAGTTTCTGCACAAGTTGGCCTAATTTCGCAATTAGCAATTATTTCGATATTTTGGTAGATCTGATCGGTACTCGAACGATTTCATTCTCGAATCCTAATCCAGCTCGGTGGTGGTCAGGAACAAGGACTCTCTCGTCCAACCTCCTCGAAATGATTGTAAATTGCGAGGAAAACATTATCTCGCGGTGATGATGTTGTCGTTCTGGGGCCATCTGGAAGACCGGAGACAGTTTACGAGCTTACGGCCTCGCCCGGCGCCAGAATCCGTAATACGAAACTCAAGAACGCGCTTTTAACATAGCATAGCTCTACGATTCGGCGGACCATTCTGGGATTCACGAGCCATCCATCCATCGAGTCTACTGGCGTGGTCGTCTTCTACGAGACCCTTTAGCCTTTAACGATTATTAACAAGAAGAAAATAAAAAGTACTGCTTCTTTTCGGTCACATACAGGAAAACGAAATTCCTCCGCGCAAAGGATTGAAAAGAAAAGAAAAAAAAAGGCATTAGAGGTTGACATTTACGTGGTGAAAAACGTCAGAGAATCGTAGGAGTTGACAGGACCTATTAGCTGAGACGAACGCGCCACCCGCCCAGATGCAATCCCTATCTTCTAAGCTCGTAATTTTTCCTTTCTGAACTAACACGTGTAAATTCGAACCTACTCGTGACCCGCCTTTCTCCTCCCACGCACTTTTTCCTTCGAACACTCCGTCGAAATCAAAGTAAGAAGAATTTTTACGATCATTAATTGATCATAAATGATCTAACAATAAAGGGAGAGTATATATGTATATAAATAGGAGGAATTTTAAGTACTACAAATTGATGAGGCTTGTAAACTTTTTGCCACGTGCAATTAGTAGAGAGAGTCGCGTGCTGCTGCTGCTGCTTGTAAGAGCGAAAGAGCTTCGGAATCGTGGCCCACGCTTGTAAACATTTACAAAGCGTGATAAACAAGACGTTACTCTAATATACGTTCCACTTACGAGAAACGAAATATAGTAGTAGTAGTAGTAGCTGAAGGCAGTATCCGAGTAAACGACTTTTTAACTCGTCAAAGCGTAAGGTCGAGTAGGGAGTTAAAATTTAATGATACTTCAGATTGATAGGATCGAAACAAACAAAGGGTGAATTTAATCGATTATACAATCTCTTTGCATCATTCTTATAAGCGTAAAGATATTGTGATTCGGTTTCTTTTTTTATAAGTGCGATCTATTCCTTTTATATAATACATTTACAGATATCCTGTAAATGGTCTCGACGCCGTGTAAACTCGCCACCCACGCATTTACCACCCTTCCAGTTTAACCTCACTTCACGTGCACGGTTATATCTTCCCGTCTCATTTCCGTCAGTCACTGAAGTGTAAACGAGATCAATCTGCACCGGAGAGAATTTACTTTTTTTCTTTTTTCTCTTTTTTCTCTTTTTTGTCTTTCCCTCAGTCCTCCCTTCCCTTACTCCTCCCTCGCCTCTCCTTCAATTTGTTCCCCAGTTCTGGTATATTTCTAGCAGCATCTCTCTCGACATTATTCTCGTTGTGTTACCGCGAATACCGTGTATTCGGTATTCGAGCAGAAACGAGCTACTGTATCCGTCTTTTACAGCAGCACTGTTTCTCGATCGCCTTCGACGCGTTTGTAGAAAAAAAAATTGGCGACGAGCACGTTGGTCCACAAGCAACGAGACTCGGGCAGCCTTCTTCTTCTTCTTCTCTTTCCCCTTCTCCTTCCCCTTCTTCTTCTTCTTCACGTCGCAGAGAGAAAGAGAAAGATTTTCAGTGGCATCCGAAAGACGACCACACACGATGTCGTTTTGAAGCTTGTACGAGAGTTGATGCTACTCTTTAGATCCTATCTTCTGTTTTAGAGACTTAACGATAAGACGCGTATCGTCCTTAACCCTTCTAAAGTGTTGGAATTACTTTTCAATATATTTATCTATTTCCAAAATGTTGCATTTTTCAACAAATTAAAATATTTCATTTACTGCTCTATATATAATTTGCGTGTTTTTTATCCGATAACGAAGAAGAAAGAAGCAAGAAGTCGAAACACGAGTGAAGTGGTCACTCGAAGCTTGAGACTACTTGAGAACTGCCCCGAGGCTTAGAATTGATCGTACGATTATATACAAGGACCGATTCTACGACGATTTCTATCGCGAGAGAACTTTTGCTCCTTTTCATTTGATTTTTCTTCTTTGTCCTTTAAAACGATGCACCCATTATGTGTGGTCTCACTAAATGGATCCCAATAAACGTCTTTAATAGTTTTTCTTCCAGTCCAAAACACTCGCTCCTTTTTTCTCAACTCAAACATAAATTCCTAATAATGAAGGATTTATCATCTCTGTTTCAGGGTTGAAAATTCAATGCTCGAATTCAAGTTCAAATAGTTCTGGAGGTAGCATAATCGATAGAAAGCCCTCGTACTTTGGTCATCCAATCAATGGATCAACCGTGAGCTTGAGTTCTTTGAGTTCTCTGAACTTGAATAACATCGGTAGTTTGAGCATATCAAACGTGCCGAACGTAGCCGTCTCCTCGTGTCTTCATCACGCAAACACCCCACCACCACCACCACCGCCAACATCGACACCAACGACGACGACACCACCAACAACGGCGACTCCGGTCATGTATTACGACCAAGTCAAGTACAATATATGAAAAGTGTCTGACAATGAGTTTGACTTTTGAAACAATGTCGTCGTCGTCGTCGTCGTCGTCGTCGTCGTCGTCGTCGTCGTCGTCATCGATGATGTATTTTACAATCGGATCAACTACATTATGTGAAAAGTGAACAAGTTTGAAAAGAGGGAAAAACATTCGATCGATATCCTCTCACAAAAATGATCTAATTATAATACGCTATAATGACAATGACGAGGATTAGTTCGTTCTTCTTCGATCTGACTTCGATGATTGTTCGCCTAGAGGTATTTTAATATGTATATGTGTATTTATAATTAATTCATTAAATACCGTTATTAATTTAAGGATAAGCACATTGTTTTTGGAGCCAAATTTGTAGAATGAAAATATCGTTTATCGAATATGTAGGTGGAAGAGAAAGAAAATTAAGGGGAAAAAAAGGAAAAAAGGAAAAAAAAAAAGAAAATAAGAAAAATAAATGTGGAGTATTGTTCATTTATTGATCATATGACGTCAGCCGGTATCCCAGTAAATTCTATAAGCGCGAATGACGTACTTACTTATTCGCCCCTTCGTACGCGATGATCGAATGCGAATATCCGTCGAGTTAGACGTCAGGAGGATTCCTTGATCGTCGGTTTTGTGGCAACGATAAGAAAATTCGTCGACGGAGATTGGGAAATTTGTAAACACGGTAAGATATCGAATAAGGATGATTCGATTGAAACGTTTCCTCCGAAAAACCACAATGACACTAATCTTCTTCACAGTTTATGGTAAAAAAAAGCTCGTACGCATAAAAATATTCTCCCATATTTGGATGGATCGAAAATAAACAGTCCTCTATTTAGATCTACTTAGTACTTTCCTCATTTAATGACAAAATCGAAATAATTTAGTATCCTACATTTTCATTATGACATAAATTGCTTTTGAACATCTTCCCCGGTGTTCTTCCCCGGTGTTCTTCCCCGGTGTTCTTCCACGGGGTTCTCTCACGCTCTAACTTCTCCGTTAACATTTTTTTAAACTGAACAGGAAGGAAGAGAGAAGAAAAAGGAAGAGAAAAATAGTTGTAGCGACAAAGAACCATATAACAGCTCGCACAGCAAAGATAATGGGAACGTAAGCGATAGTAACATGTTGCCAGCAGTCCTCCTCTCGTCCACGCTAGTCGTAAAAACGTTCGTAAAACAAAATCCGCATCCTCGGATCTTTTCCGAAAGAAAAGATCGGTAGGTTGGTTAATAGGTAACAACCTATTCGAGTAATATACTTAGACTCCCTTTTCGAATATCGCATTACCATGTGTTCAAACACTCGAACACCCTTTCTTCCTTCGGTAATGCACGGTTGCACGGTCCTTTTTTTTCACAGAAACGCAGCTCGATAATAGATATCGTCACCGTCCAAAAATAACTTTGACATCTGATCTTAATTTCGTTATCGCGAACGAGAGGAATGTTACGCTAGATTTATCGGATTGGTCATCCCGTAGCAGGCAGATATACACTAAATATTATCTATTACGGGTGGAAATCCGATAATGCAATAAGTAAGTATGTGTAAGTATGTATTGATTCGTTGGTGTTTTCTGTAAAAATGATCTACTATACAAATTCGTATCCGAAGGAATTCATTTAGTAATATTTATCTCAATTTAATTAGCTTCAAATGGAATTCAACACAAAAGTAAGTAAGTACATTTTGTTAAATACGAAAGAAAAGAGATCATCCTCGAATCGCTGGTTTCGTTGAATCGAGTTAGGCAACTAACTAAGTGGAAGGATTGCTTATACAATAAATTAGAGAACGTTCACGATGTGTATGATGAAGAGAACGTATATGGTGTCGGCTTACACGAAACAGATTCGCAATCGACATTAATTTCAAGATGAAATTTTTCTTCGTGATCAACCGCGTACAAAGAGACGACTGATAATCCTAAGTATTATATAGTATATTACATATATTATACTTCTTTTAAATTTTCATTAGAAAAATTGTCTACGAAAAAATTCATCATTCTTACATTTTGACAAATAGTCTACGCATTGAAAATGCATTTACTACTATTTAGAACTCTTTAGTAAAACATTTTCGGGCATAAGTTTTGATGTGAAGTTTCTTGACACCCTGTAGATAAGATTTCTCTCTTTTCGTAAAAGATTCGATCTAATGCATTTCGGCCATAGGACGTGCACGATGTGCACGAGGTGCAAGAGAAGTCACTCAATGGGACCGACGACAGCTACATCGCTGTCTTTAAAGTAGGCTTCTTTCAGATCGTATATCCACAATAGGAGCACAAAAATGCGAGTCGTTTGCTTTTATTTAAATAACATTTCTATAGCGAAGGTAAGTCGGTCGTGTACCAATGTAAAAGCAACCAGACGCCCACTTCAATATCACTCGATATAATATACTCAAATCTGAGATAGCTACAAAGCTCATTTTTTTCCTACGAAAAGAAAATTTCGGGAAAGTACAAAACGCAGAACCAATAACGTTGATATTTCTACGAAGTTACGTTGGGTGAATTTTTAAAATAGCAGCCTTCCGAAGAGTCTGTTAGATGACTGCATTATTTCAAGGTGTTTTCAGCGGCAGCGCCGGCGGCCTACGTGAGAGAGAGAGAGAGAGAGAGAGAGAGAGAGGAATAGGGCTCTCTGTAAAATAATAAACTAATCTAAACGATGTGGTACTCTCTTAGACCAAATCAAATTACATGCTTCGTGATTTACATTATACAGGCACATAACTTTACAAAAAAAAACTCATTTAAAGTTCGTTAACTCTACTTAAAAAAAGTTATATAGTTAAGAAAATACAAAAGAAAAAATTGTTAGGAGGAATACAGATCAATAATAATAACTATGGTTCGTGCAATTGTTCGATGTCGATGTCAATTAGATATTGCTAAATGTAAATAGTGCAGTTGACAACTCATGATGCATTTAAGGTTAGTATATGTATATATACACGATTAACTCAACTGCGTATGCGCGTTAAAAGCGCCACACGCTTTCGTTTCATTAACGAACCGTTTTAGCGGTAGCGATAAATCCGTGTGCTTTTCATGAAATTCATTTTCATCTAAATAATATTTTATAGTTTCTTTATTAATTACTGATGGAGCAAATACTATTGAAGCTACTCGTAGCCGATAACGCTACTATACTAGAGGTATTCACCGATATTTCATAAGATTTCAATAAACTGATCTATCTACAAACACTGTAAAGCACGTGTTAATTTATAAGTACAGTAATTTATCATATTTATCATATGCTTACATTCATTTTCTACTTTTAAATATTTTTTTTCTATTATACAAAATTTTGAAAATGAAATATAATGTCTAGTTTTAGTGTATAGACAATGCTTCCCTAGATGCACTTAACCTTTTCTTTCTTGTACTGTAAATTATACTTTTTAATAAATATCACATACATTTTTTTTTCATTTCAAGTTTTCACATTTTCCCAATTTAAGAGATATTTGATCTTGGAAGAAATGATATGCTTTAAAGAATACTATGGAATAGTAGATGGAACACATTTATTTTTAATTTCTAATATTTCTTATATAGGGCACTGCAGAACTGCGAAAAGCATTCAAGAACTCTGAAAGTACACCCGCTTTATGCGAACTCATTGTATCTTCTGCAAATCCACAAGTATATAATATTTTATATTTCTTTATCAAAAATATACTATTATATTTATATACGCTTCACAAATGTCTTTAGATCAGACAATATGCAGCGGTCTTACTTAGAAAGCGTTATAGCAAAGGAAAACATTGGACAGAATTACCAGATAATATACGCACTGACCTTAAAGCAATGATCCTACCCGTAAGCAAATATTTTAATAATAAATTTCATTAAAAATGGTATTTTATACATGATTTGTTTAATTAGGCACTATGCAATGAATCAGAAAAACTTGTAAAAAATTCTATAGTCCAATTGATAGGAACCATAGTTAAACACGAATTGCCTAGTAATGGTTGGCCAGAAGTATTGCAGTTTGTACAACAATTAATTACAAGTGAAAATCTATTCGAAAAAGAGGTAATCTTTTGGTGCTTGATAAATTTAGTACTACGATAATCTGCCAGCCATAGAAATATATTTAAGTGTGGTGTTTAACGCTTTAATAAACTTTTTATTAATAAGAGACATTTAATTACAGTTAGGTATGTATACATTGGCAACTATGACGGAGGTAGCACCAAATGCATATAAAATTTATGCAGACTCTGTTGTCACTCTTCTTTCTCAAACATTAAATAATCTGCGAGATTCAGAATATTCCATTGCGTATTATGTTATGCAAACATTACAAAATTTAATTCCCTTGATTAACGGTAATCAGAATGTACGTACTGAATAAACTTATATTTTATTATATACATTGTATTATAAAAGTGCTTGAATCTTTAATTGTGTTAACGATTAAATATACTTTTAGATGATAAATGCCTACAGTCGTATGATGCCACAGATTATGACTACGATACAGGCTTTGACAGAGGTCGATGAAGATAAGGCTACAACATCTTATGGATTATTAGACGAGTTGTGTGATAATGAAATTAATGTAATAGCACCGCATGTAAAGCCACTTATTAGCATGTGCCTCGCTATTGCCAATAACAAATCTTTATCTGATCCTCTTCGCGTTAAAGCACTTCACTTTATTAGCGGGCTTGCAAGAACTAGAAAAAAGAGTCTTATTAAACACAAGTTGGTTGAACCAATTATCGGTAAGGATTCATTTATTTGCATTTGTATTTATATATATTTTCTCTTCTATATTATACTATGCCAGAATTTATTTACAGATACATTGTTTGCTCTCATGTCATCTCCTCTCGATGATGATAGCTTTGAAGCCTACTTCGGTAGGGATAACGAAGATAGTACACCTGTTTCCTGTGCGACTCGAACACTGGATACATTAGCATTGCACTTGCCCCCTGAAAAACTAATTCCACATTTGGTACGATATGAAAAGATTTCATCTTGAGCCTTAATATAAGTAACAAGATTATAAATATTTTTTTCTTTAATATTTTTTCTCTAATATTTTTTCTCTAATATTTTTTCTCTAATATTTTTTCTCTAATATTTTTTCTCTTTTAGTTGAAACACATTGAACCAGGTCTTCAAGGAACTGATATTTATGTTAAATCATCATCGTATTTAGTTATGGCAGTACTTGCTGAAGGTTGCTCGGAACATATACGATCGAAATATTTAGAATCGTTCTTACGTTGCATTTGTCAAGGAATTGCCGATGCTGCACCTATTGTAAGAAGTGCTGCCCTTTTTGCGCTCGGCCAATTTTCCGAACATTTACAACCAGATATATCACAATATTCGTATGAACTACTACCTGTATTATTCGAATACCTTGGTCAAGTATGCACTCTTATTAGACAAGAGAAAAAAGAACCATCGTCGATTGAACGAATGTTTTATGCTCTTGAAATGTTTTGTGAAAATTTAAATGAAAGTTTATTACCCTATTTACCTACTTTGATGGAAAAAATTTTTGAATTAATAAATGCAGACACTTCGGTACGTGTAAAAGAATTAACATTGAGTATAATTGGGTCAGCAGCTTATGCTAGTAAGGAAAACATGTTGCCTTATTTTGAAAAAATTATTGCTATTCTTAATGGTTATCTTACGGAGAAACAAACGGATGAAACTATGTGTCTTCAAGTTCAAGCTGTTGGTTGGTTTTAAAATCATATTATGTCATTGCAAATGCGTGCGTATAAATTATTGTAGATATTATAATATAATATATAGTACACGTATTATTTAAATTACAGATATACTTGGAATAATTGCTAGAACGATAGGAGATGAACATTTTGCACCACTGGCAACGAGATCTCTCGAATTGGGATTAAATTTATTGAAGGAAAATGAAGACCCTGATTTGCGAAAATCTATTTACGGCTTATTTGCTTCCATTAGCAAAGTTATGAAAAAAGAAATTGCAATGGCGCTACCTCAAATTGTTGAGTACGCGATAAACAGTATACGAAGTTCTGAAGGTATAGTGGTAAGTATTTGATAATGCATTATACTTTATTGTTTAATAACAAGTATTTTTCGATGATGCATTATATACTTATTGTTTAATAACAAATATTTGTCCCAGCCATATTTTAAAGAAGATGAAACAACTGCTTTCTCGATATATGAAGATCTAAGCGATGAAACTGAAGATGAGGAGGATATAGAAAATACAGATAACGAAGAAGACGAAGATGATGAAGATGTAGCTGGTTACACCGTTGAAAATTCTTATGTCGAAGAAAAGGAAGAAGCAATCTCAGCACTTAAAGAGATCGCTCAATATACGGAGTAAGAATTAATATTTCATATCGATCTACTAAAATTTATTCAACTTTTATTTTTATTGACAAATAATTCATATTTTTCTTCCTATAGAGAAGCATTTTTGCCATATCTTGAGAAATCATTCGAAGAGGTTTTCAAATTAATTAATTATCCCCAAGAGGATATTCGAAAGGCAGCTATAGAGGCTTTATTACAGTTTTGTATTAATTTTTCCAAAATTAATTCCAACGAAGGTAAACAGTCAATGTTTAAAGCATTATCAGTTTTCATCCCTAAACTGTCAGAATTAATAAGACTAGACGATGATAGAACAGTAGCTATGGGTGGATTAGATGCATATTCGGACATGCTTAAAGAAATAAAGTCTGATGTTTTTATTGGTGAAGGTCATAAATATGCTATTATGAACTGCATAACGGATGTTATGTCAGGTATATCTAATGTCAGGTGTATTTTATAAATGCAGCATTTTCTAACATTATTACTAATTGTAAATAGTTATACAACTATAATATATGATTTCAATCTTTAAAGGTAAAACTAAATGTCAAGATCAGGAGGAAGGAGAGGACGTAGAGATCGAAGCAGAACAAGACGAACTGCTAGTCGAATGTGCAGGTGAACTACTTACGAATCTTAAAAAAGTTATTCCGTCGGAAGACTTTGCAATTTACTTTGAAGTAGTATTACCAATGCTTCTAGAAAGATCGGTAAATCTATTCCCTGTATTTTTAATAATCCTTCATTAATTATTCATTACTTTAATATAATCTAACATGTTGTTTTATTCATAGAAAAAAAACAAATCCGATACGCAAAGAGCTTTTGCAGTTGGAACGATTTCGGAGTGTTTATCTGGCCTTAAACATGCTGTCGCCGCTTTTTTGCCACAACTTCTTCCTATTTTTTTAAAGTTCGCTAATGATTCTAATGCCAATGTTCGTAACAATGCGATATTTGGAATCGGTGAGCTTGCCTTACATGGCCAAGATGCTGTTTATCCGTATCCTTTTAATCAATTTTATATTATATTTATAATTTATACATCATTCTTCCAGTATATATATATATTCTTTAATATCAATACCATAGTCACTATCCTGACATTTTACAAATTTTATCAAGTGCTATTGCTAAAGAATCGCACATGGGTGCTCGAGACAACGTTTTAGGTGCAATAGCACGCTTGATTATTACGAATTATGAAATTTTACCGCTGGATCAGGTTTTTCCAGTATTCGTTAATCAATTGCCATTAAAGGAAGATTATTTGGAGAACAAAGCTGTCTTTAAAAGTATTTTAATCTTGTATCAGGCTGGGCATAATATATTACAAGCACACATGCGTACTTTACTTCAAGTTGCAATCAGCGTACTGCAAGAAGGAAAAACTTCCGATGACGGTAAATTTTGAAATTATTTATTATTAATACATGTAATCATTTTTATTAATTATTTTCATTACTTTTTTTCTCTAACAGAAACAAAAAACCTTATAATGGAGTTCGTGCGATCCGCTCAACGAGATTTCCCGAACGATTGGAATTCGGTCTACACTGAATTACCACCAGAGATAGCTACAAATATTCAACAAATGTTTTCTTAAATTATCATTTGAGTTTATTTAAAATATTCACTTGTTTTGAATTAATTTCAAGATATTATGCACGAAATACAACATTCTCACTAATTCTAATCACTAATTGTTATCGTTGTACACGATTTTACTGTAATAATTTACTGATGTCATTTTTTTCTGTAATTATCAGAATTGTTATTATTTAATCGTCGATATAAGATTGAAAATAACTTTGAAATATTTTACATCTTGACGAGAATTGGTATTCTATTTTTCAAACGAAATGTCAGCATTGGTTAACGTTCTCCATTTGTTTTTAAACAAAATTTTTGTCTCCCGAAGAAAGGTGCTATTATTCTAAGATAAAAATGCCATATAAATGAAATCGAACGAAATATTTCAATAGGCGTGCGTATATTACAAGAGAACTAATGGTAGAAGCTTTATTATTATCAATTTTACATTATATTTGTCTATAATCAGGACGTATTCAAAGGTATTCAAAGAGCAGTACTAAACAGTACTAAGCAGTACTACTATCTCTAACGTAAACTCGATTAGCACGCACACGCGCGCGCGCGCGCACACGACACACACATAAACACAAACGTACACGCAATACTCATAAATGTATAATTCGACGAATAAAGAGACGTTAGATTGGGTGCTTGTTATAAATCTTGTCCATTTTCATAAAAGACTCATTCAAAAAAGATTACTTTAGAAGAAATCTCCTCCATGCATAATACATATTTGTGTAGATAAATTAGGATGGTTATTTTAATATTTAATAAGTATACCTTTCAGAGTTAAGTTCGAAATAAACTGAAGCAAACGAGTAAAGTTTTGGTTTTTTTTCTTGAACCCTTTGAGTGGTGAATGCTGCCGACACGCGTCTAGAAATTGCGGTTGTTGACAACGGAATACTTTTTTGGCTTTGATTATTGTTCCAATTGAACAATTTCATTGTCCAACCCTGTATATTTGATTTTAACATGCTATCGATTTTTTATCAGAAACAGATAATTATTCCCTTCAGTTGATTTTTCGAAGTCATATCGAAAGCATTTACGCTATTAAAACTTTAACATTATCAAAAAACTCCTAAGTGTTTATAATATGTGTTATTTACGAACGTGTTAAATAATCAACTATACGCAAAAATATTATCTTATAATATATATTACATTAAAATCTCTCGTGCGAGTTTGCAGTGCACATACATAAGTGAATAACTTTCGATCTTCAGATCTAAGGAAAAATATTAAAAAAGCGATCGATCTCTTTATTACACAGATTCTTACTTTACTGAGAAAAATAAACCAACCGCGTGTCACGACGATCGATGACAATGATCGAACATACAAAATGTCAAGAAATCGTTCTAAGAATTATAAAACGTTCATCGATTCGGAAAAAAGGAATATAATGAAAAATTTCATATCATATCGATTTGATCGATATCAAAACTGTTCGTCAAGATTAGTCATCGCGGCGAGCACGCGTCCTTGAAAAATCAGGCATGACTCGAATGAAAAAGACGTCACCTCGTAGGTGTACGTCGAGGACAATCGGAAACATAACGAGGTGATGAAGGACAAGGAGCAATGTATTATTACTTTAATCGCCTTAACCAAATTAAGGAGAAAACAAAAGTCTATGGTTAATCGTAAACGAATAAAACTTTCTAATGAAATTTAATACTATAACGAAACTAACAAGTTATCAATCGGAGGAGGAACAATTTCTAAGATATTATTTGAATGATTTCAAACAATATGACATATATAGACGATATTGTCTAGAAACATATTAAACAAAAAAAAAACTCAGTTTTAAGTATTGAGGATACTGTTAAAAAAAAAGTTGGAAGGAATAATATTATAGCTGTTTCATAAACAAATGATATATGTATCTTTGGTTTGAAATTAAATTTAAAACCGTCGAAAGATACTTGACAAAAGTGCATATTCAGTCTAACTGACAATATAATTATCGAATCGTCATAAATCTCTTTTAAATACATTAATATTTATGGTACACAGACACAAAAAAAACATAAAAGATTATGCAAATCAACAACTTCTAATTGGAATGAATTAAATAGACAACTCCAATTCAAAAGATATGAATTATCCTAATAGAGATGACAAAATAAATAGATAAAAAAGGAAAGTATCGAGGATTATCGAGTGAACAGTAATCGATTATTAAAAAGAAAGAAAAAAGAAAAGGTATATATGTTCGTACGTTTGTTTAATTTCATGTTAGAGTTCATTTGAAAATATGATAAAATCGTCATCCATCATAAAATCGTCGACTGTTAGTCCGTTCGTTCGTTCAGTTCACACCTGTCGTTGGACTTGTAGAGGCCACCGCACGAACGAGATATCGAGAGCTCTCACACATATCCCAGTGGAAAGTTTCGTTTGAACGAGAACGCTTGCTTAGTCTGCTCTTCGAGATACTCCGGAACGCATCCCAACGCAGCGTAGCGCAGCGTAGCGCAGCGTAGCGCAGCGCAACGTAATGCAACGCAACGCTAACACTCTTCAGTTCTGTTTCTATCGGTCGCGGACATATATTTATTATTATTTGCATGACAATTGCTCGATGGCATCAACAATCCAAGAGAAACATTAGTGATAGGTGTAGCAATTTGGAATATTTCTTAAACTTTTACAACCAAAGATTGGACATTTGTAACGATGCAAGTAATTATTAACGCAACACGTGTCACTTGGTCAATTAAAAAGAAATCGATCCTTTATGAAAATCCGATTCGTACTTTGACCGTTTATCCTAACGCTAATGGCACATATTTTTCGACGCAATGTTAAATTTATCCTAAACCAATAATATATAAGTATATGCGCGTGCATACCTTATTACATATTTATCGTAAGTTAGGGATTTATATGGGATTTATACGTACAATACTTATACAATACTTTCTTTTTTCCTATTTTTTCTTTCTTTATTTATACAGACACAAATAGACTCGTTTAAAATGTAACTCTGACTCGTATCAGTACAATATGTACGTATAAAGTTACGCGCGTTCCTCTGAAGGAATGTAGAATTCTAAAGAATCTATTTTTTTTTTTTCAGCCAAATAGGAAGTCCACGTAAAAGGGAACCGGAAAGATACCGGACAACATTATTCGTACTGTATCGTTCGCATACGAAGGAGAAACGAGCAGGATGTAATAAGGATATCCGCATTGATCGAAAGCCTAGCAAGGTAGTCATAGTTTTTCGAATGTTTAATAACACTTTCATTATGTCTATGCACACGCAGGCGTGTAATAATATGTCGTAAGCCACATCTAGTAAGAAAAATCAATCGATTTTCGATCCTCTTAGACTTTTTTCGCGTAATCTTTTTCCACGTAATTCCAAATTCATATCTTTGCAACCGATGTTATCGAATGATCGGATGTATTTCAATTTTCAATACAAATTTCACATTCGTTCTCATAGATTTGTTTGCTTGTAAGAAATAATATTTGTATTAAATAATTGATTCGTTGGTCGGTTATGATGCAAGTACTTTCGATAAGTTTAGCGTTAAAATACGAAATGAACGTAATGGAAGTATGATGAAATCTATCTACAGAGAAGATATATCTATAGAATACGAAATTGAATGGAACAGACAACTCGTTGGAAGGAGAAGCACGTAATACGAATTACAGAAGCGAGAATGCTCATGGAGAAAGTGTGACTTTCTGTGAGATAGAAGGACACCGCGATAAAAGTTCCTTCGGAAGTGAGCAAACTGAAGGAAAAAACTGCTGAGAGGAAGATACTTTTTAATCGAAGGACGTAAATATTAATTTGGCAAACAAGTTGAAAAGAGGAAGAACAAAATAAAGAAGTAAAAATGTAAATGATGAATATGCGAAGGGTGTAAAGGAGTGTGTTATCGTAGCAACACATTGGCTAACATAGGGGAACTTGAAAGCTTAGTTAAAAGGGCGCAACTAGTTTCTCGAGTGGCCCATTTCTCTTATCGCGATAAACTCTGAAGAATCGGTCCGGTGTGTCGGGAAAGAACTGGTGAGAGGACTGGTGAGAGGACTGGTGAGAGAACTGGAGTGAATCAGTAGCGTTGCGATATTTAAACGCAATGAACGGAGAAATCGCGACGCCGTCGTCGTCGTCGTCGCCGGCGTCGGCGTCGGCGTCGGCGTCGACGTGGTCGTCATCATTGTCATCATCGTCATCATTGTCATCATCGTCGTCATCGTCATCTTTACCCTCCTCTACCATAATCTTCTCTTTATCCTTCTCCTTCTCTCGCTTTATTTCCTCCATCTCCACTTTAACTACCACTACCAGCACTTGACTATTATCATCGTCTTCCGGCTGATCGCAAGAACATCTACGAGGAATAATAAAATGGACGTAGAGCTGGTCACCCGAGCATCCTTGACCTCCCTTCAGAACGTCGACGATGGTCGTGTCGTTTCACCTAACAGCCTCGACGAGTGGACTTGGTCCAGTTTAAGAGTGAGTTACAACTTTCCTTTTTTTTTTTCATTATTTTACGAATATAAAAGGTTCGATATATGAATATGCAACACTAACACTAACAATTTAACAATAGACTATTTAGTTATTCTACCCTGACACTATTTACTTTATATAACAACGTTTATCAATTTCAACATTTAATAGCTTGCAAAATACCTAAGTAATTAATTAAAACATTCGTGAATATATCACAGTTTAACAGATGTATCTTTCAAATAATACAAGTACAAATGTGTTAGGTTAGACAATAAAAAGATTGAGAAACGCTCTTGTATAATAAATACCTAACACACACTTAACGAATAATATCGAGTATCACTTGACATAAATTCACCTGTCCGTTGCGTTCGACATAATATTTGTCCTATCCATCGAATTATTTGCAACTAATGAATCACAATTCAGCCCATCGGATGGATCGCTTATCATTCGAATCGAACCATAAGTTACGTTCATGTATGTAATATCATACTTTCTCTCTTTAGTCGTATCGTATTTTTGTTCTTTTTTATATTTTTGTTGTTTTGAAAAAAAGTAGTCGAAGAAGATGCGCGTGCGCACGTTGTTTACCTCGCCTATCACATTCCGCGTATCAGTAAACGCATTCGATAACTCGATCAGCGCAACATGATACACGATTGACGGCTATATATGTTTTTTTCTTTTCATTTCTTTTACCTCTTCATTATCAAACAAACTTAGTTGATAGTACGAGAAAGAAACTTTTTTATTATTAGTAGAATTTAATCATCTCGACAAGTGTTAACACGATAAGTCGTTTTCTTTTTAATAAATCGTTAAACAATTTAATCATAGAAAGATGAAATTCGACGATAAAATTGAATCACGTTTTATTCTCTTTCTTTTTCTTCTTATCGATGATTTCTTTTGATTTTATATTATTCTTTATCGATATGTCAATCAATATTGTTGCTAAATTAATCATCAATTTTTCATTAATTATTCGCGGCTTTCTGTAGAACTTTACTATTGGGAATTTAACAAAAGAGAAATTATTTTGATACGATCGAAAAGTTGATTTCTTTCATTCTTTTCTCTCACTAAAAGAATTACTAATATATTTTTCATTGATCTATTAATGATTCTTAATCTTGATTACTCTTCTATCATTGTTTGAAATATTATTTACCGGAACTTGAAGGAAACTGTTTAGGAAATTTTCTACCCCACATATATTTATGCATAAATATTATTATTAAATATTATCGAAATTTTGGGTACTTTTTGAAAATGGAATAACAATTATTCTGCTTGAAAAAAAGTTGAACTATTTTCAAAGAAATTGACCGCTATGATGCACGATGATAGATGAAAATCACGGTTTGCTAACTAAAATATAGATTATTTAACCTATTTTCAATTTCTTAAATAATACTAACGAGCGAAAAAATGGTATATTTAAAAAAATGTGTGTATTTTACTTAAAAATATCTGACTGAGTTGTTCTTTCGAAACTTTGATTAACCAAATGTAAAATAACTGTTAAAATTGGACTTTTGGAGAGAAGTATTAGGGGAGGTAGCGAGGTTCGAAGCTATTTCAAATTGAAGATCAATATCCAGCGGGTCGAGAGGCTCTCGGCAAGTAGCAGCAAATTATACGAAAACGCACGCGCGAGAAACGTAGAGAAGAAGCTTTTCGTTCTACGTATATTCCTTGAAAGCTCCAACAGACTCAGAGTGGCAGGCAGAGCTTCGCGAACCGCGCTCCTATTCGTGTGTCTAGAACAAACAAAAAACACATTTCACTGACTTCATAGAAAACGATCCAAGATAGATTCGCCTTTTCTTATTTTCCAAAATCCTACAGATATATTCAAAGAAACACCTACAATGTCGAATAGTTTCTTTCGATACGCGAGTGCTGTTATGTCTTATGAATATGACTATTGTTCTTTTTAATTAAACAAGTCAACAGTTTATTATTTATTTAGTATATTCAAGAAAGAGAGTTTAGATAGAACCGAAACTATTTTTCTCCTAGTGCTAAACAAACTCTAATTGTTTTTGGACCAACATTCCATTTAAGAGGAATATCAGAATTATACGTAATTATGATTGAAAGTTCTTATATTTCTTATGCCGTTCGATAATCTTAAGAAAAATCTTTCTAATATCTGCTATCTTTTTCAATCCTAGTCACAGTGTTCAATCAATCATCATTTTTTACATATTTTTTATTTTATCTTAGAATAAATTTAAGGTTTCATTCAAATTTGCCTAAATTGTTATCTCTACGAAAGTGACGACAGACGAATTGATCTTAAGATTAAACTTTTAACAAATAAATAATAACAATAAAATAGCTGCCTCTGCCGAAATAGCAACCATGACGCTTCTGAAAAAGTTCCTTCGATTTTTCCGGAATTTTTGACCATAATGATTCCTTAATGTATTGTAATTTTACTTTTTAATTTTACATATTGCTACTATGACTGATAAAAATGCAAAAGGATACATGATCATTTTGAGCACGAAGTTTATATTGTTTATACGCTTACCAATGTTAGTTATTTAAACATGTCACTAAAAAGCAATAAATATATAGTTCGATTCATTCTAAAAATTAACACACTCGTCGATCTGATTGTCGCTTCTGTAACATAGAATTATCAGTACTAATACTATCGGGAATTTCAAACGTTTAAATCACTCCGTTTCTCGTTTAAAATCTTATCGCAATCTTTGATTTTATTTTCAGAAGCAATTCAAATACAAAAGCTTGGAAAAACTTTATACCATCTATCAAAGAAGACTGCAATATGGTTACTTATCCTTATTCGTATTGGTGGAAATAATTTTGGGATTTATCTATTGTTTCGTGTTAATCACGATGGTGAGTAAATATTATACATCGAAATACTAAACAATCTAATCTAATTTCTCTCGTTGCACTTTTTTACCGGTTATTCGTTCCTTTCGGCTCAGGTAAACATCGAAAAATGCATTCCAGACGTGATAGTTCACAGTATCATAGGTGCATTACTTTGCCCCACTATAGCGCTATCATTCAGATCAAAAATCATTGCGAGGAATACGTATTTGCCGGTTATGCTCTCGTGTTTGGTAATTACGCTGTTGGTGATCGGTGATCTGATGGTACCACTTTATTACACTCTTTTATATACCGAGGATATACCACCTATACGGTAAACAAATTCTTTCTATCGATATTGGTTTATTAACACTAAACGTAACATCATTCTTATCCTATCTACTTTATATCTATCTTTATTATAATCTAATTTTGACTAAAACGAATGCAGAATTTCGAAGCAAATTTGACACGACCTGTGTGATACGTTTAGTGTTAAATAAAATAATCTTTGAAATGTTTAGTTAGATTACGGTTCAGTTATAGTTCAAATAACTATCAAAAATAAATTGATACAATGATTTTCCGATTTATCATTTGATTTTATTGATTATAGACCAACGTATGCAACGCACACGTTACTAGCATGTTACGTCTTCCTACCACTGACAGAAAATCTGCACGCATTCGTGCTGGGGATTACAGCGACGATGTGCTACTTGGTCACTCTTTTGCTCATCACTTATAGGAATACACCTGATTACATTAGCAAAGTAAAATTTAAGAGCATTTCTACTTAAAAAAAACTTCATTCTCTCGTTATTTACTTGAATATATATAATGTCTTAATCGGACAATATCTCTGCATTACAGATAACCATTGATGCTATTTATTATATTTGCGTTAACGGCCTGGGTCTTTATTTTAGATTTATGAATGAGGTCGTAATAAGACGATCATTCCTTGACCGTCGAAAATGTGTCGAAACGACGTTGAAACTTAATTATGAGAAAGATCAAGAGGTAATTATTTATTATATTCAATTGAATCCAAATATATGTAATCACAAAATTTCTAAAAATATCTATTTGAAAAGAGCACAATGTGAAAAAAAAAGACATTGTTTCTCTTTTGCTTATATACACGATGATAACAACGTATGAAAAGCTTTTTTTATCCTTATTTTTAAAAGCTTTCTGATATTCGCAGTATGGTTATGAATATAAACGCTTAAATGTGAATAGTCAATAGATAGTCAATCGTTATTCATTCGTATGAAACTGTATCGATAGCAAACTGCAAACAAACAAAAAGATCATACAAAAGATGATGAAAAGCAATTTAAATAGAATACAGAACGAAAATCAATTTCGAAACAATAATGCATTTACGTTTTTCTCTTTTTTATTTTTTATAGGAACAACTCACACGTAGCATTCTTCCACAACACATAGCCGCGAAAATAAAAAAGGAATTTCGGGATATTTTTAAATTTATGGAAGAACATAAAAAGCCACCACCAAAAGGAAGACCACGAAAGTAAGTTTCCAAATATTTTATAATACATATATATAATATAATATAATACTTATATAAGAGAAATATATATATATATAATATTTTTACTATATAAAAATTTATTTGATAAAAAATGACCTCTTATTGATATTATTTGTTTGTCAGTGATCTTTGCGTTGAAACGCACAATAACGTATCCATTTTATACGCCGACGTGGTCAATTTTTCTGGTTTGACTCTCTCATTACCAGTGCGGAAACTAGTCGAAACTCTGAACGACTTGTTTGGCAGTTTCGACGAAGCATCCGAAAGGCATAACGTACTGCGGATTAAGTTTTTAGGCGATTGCTATTATTGCGTGAGCGGTGTGCCCACGCCAAACTCGCAACATGCCAAAAACTGCGTTGACTTAGGTAAATATGTTATTCTAGCACTACTTTTAACTGTTTAATTGTCATTCTATATAATACCCATTGGACAGGCCTGGATATGATAAAAATTATCAAAGAAGTAAGAACCAGGGTTCGTCGTGAAAGTGGAGTGGACGTTAACATGAGAATCGGTGTTCACTCGGGAAATATAATATCCGGAATTTTAGGCGCGAATAAATGGCAATACGACGTATGGTCGCGAGACGTTGTCATAGCGAATAAAATGGAACAAACTGGGAAACCTGGAAAGGTTCATGTTACTCAACAAACATTAGATCTCATTGACGCTACCGATTACGATTGTGTACCGGTTGAAACGCTCAACGATGAAGTTCTTAATAAATATGGAATTCGCAGTTATTTAATTACACCCGTTGCGCCAGAACCATCATTGATGCAGGTATGTGTTTTTCAGTGATAACACGGCATAGGGCTTTTGTCGATGCCGTCGTTAAATTATAATTTAACCCTATTTAAATATAATTACATCAAATATAGGATAACTTTTTATTATACGATGTTGACCAATGAATGTTGCACATTCCAAATGCAAAGGATTAAGATAAAGTTCTTCGAAGCTTTATCCTTGTAACTGTAATTGTTTATCTCTACGGTAAAACTTCGTTTGAACATTTCGTATCGTTGACAGGCGAACCTTGTTGCAGAACAGCGAGAACACCTTGACGGTAATTACACCGGATACCTCGGCATCAAGCTGTAAGCATTACGTCAAGTTCTTAACACCGGCACGACCAAGTGTGTCATCGAGTGCACGAAGACGATTAACCTCACCGAGTAGCGATCACGCAGATGTCTTTGCCGGTAGTTACAGACGCAGAACTCACTTCATGGATTCTTGTTTGAGGGATTACCACTTGATGCTTAAAGCGGCAGACGCAGAAATGGAAGATGCAATTAAGCAGATGCCGCTTAGCAAATGGGAGTGAGTAAAACAATTAATCATATTATTCATTAATATGCATGTCTTATTGCATTATCTTTTTAAATGCAGCAAACGTGTTTCCAGGCAATGGACCAGATGGGAACATATTAATCCAATTTTCCTCAATTACAAACAATGGAATTGGGAAATACCGTTTTTACGCGAACCAGATCCCTTGTTCAAATTCTTTATCGCGTGCGCTGTATTTGTACTTTTTTTCATGGGTCTTATCTCTCTCGTACCAGCGATCACGCTATCAGAGTGCGTTACCTACTGAAAAGTAATACTCTACAAATTGAATCTAAATACTTAATGGTAAGATTATATCAGTTGATTCATTTACAGGTGGCATACCGGCACGGCCATAGGTTATACGATAGCTATGTTATTTCTATTAATATTGATACCTCTTACTTGGATGCATTTTGCGTGGAATCGTTACAAAGATCCACACGATGAAGGAAACGTCCCAAATCCTCGCAACAAATTGATATCTTTCTTATATCAAACGAGCGTTAAGGTCAGTTATTAAATAAAAATGACAACGTTATTTTCTTACTATATTCATTTATCATTTTTTTTTCTATTAGGTTGTTTGGAGTGCATTGCTCAGGATAATTCTTTATCTGGTAATAACTATAATGTTAGCAGCATGCGCTATGTTCGATATGATTGTAAGTATTTCAACAAAATAAATCCCACTGTAACATCATTTTATTCTAACGATCACTTTTCAGTTCGAATGTCAAAACGTGGACTTACTGTCGAGCGATAATGTAACATCTAGTATAGCACAAGTGGGTGCTGCTAAACTTGAGTGTATTTCTACACCCTGGGTAAGATTATTTAGTAGGTAAACGAAGATTAAAAATTACTTTTCCCTTTTTCAAACTTTTAAGCGATTAAATACAATTTCGTACAGCATTATATATATATATATATATTTCCATTGCTTCAGCAAATGACGGAAACCTGCTCTTTGGCAATCCTTACAAGTTTCCTCTTCTTGAGAGTGCATTACGTTCTCAAGTTACTAATAGGTATCATAGTAGTAACATTTTATGCATGGAACGTTTGGGTATACCGCAATAATATATTCCAGGTAATAATAATCTTTAAATCATTGTATATATAGTTACAAATTTTAAATCATTTTAAAAAATTTATTCCTAATCTTGATGCAATTTTGTATATTCTTGATAGTCAGGTGAAACATGGAATCCATATTTGGAGCCAAGAGTGGCACACATTTTAAGTGTTGTCTTTCTCACACTTTCGCTGCATCTTATCGATCGTCAGGTGAATAATCTGACTTCAAATCTATAACACCTTTTCTCAACCTTTTCACGAGCGTGAAATATTGATCACTTTTATTACATACCGATATTTTATTATAAATACTGATCAAAAATATTTACAAATACAAACTCGATAAGCATCAGCTTTTCGTGACCCATTAAAAATTGAACGAGACTTAATATTGGTTCATAGGTTGAGAAACGCTAATCTATCATGCCTTTTAACACATAATAATTTCGTTTTTACTTACATGGAAATTTATTTAGGCAGAATACTTGAGCAGATTGGACTATCAATGGAAAAGACAATTGACTTTGGAACAGGACGAAGCTTTCCATACACGAAATGCTAATAAATTATTACTTCGAAATATTTTACCAGAACATGTTGGTAAGTATTGGTTATATTTTTAATAGAATAGTATAGAAAAATAGTATAAGTCAAATATACAGCAATGAATAAAAATGCACTTTAAATATGTTTATAATCTATAAGCGTTTCTCGTGTAATTCTAATTCTCTAATAATTATACTCGTTTGTTTTAAACTCGAGGCCTCTGAAATGTTAATAAATATTTTCTATAGATTAATTATAAGTATTGATACAATCTATGAATCTAATACTTCTTTTTTCCAGCGGACTTTTACTTAAATATGGATAGAACAGAAGGAAATGAACCGTATCATCGAGCACACCGTAATGTTGCCGTAATGTTTGCATCCTTAACAGATTTATCGATCGATGAAAGTAACATCCTGATTGATCTGAACGATATCATATGCAAATTCGATAAATTGTTATTCGAGCCGTATTACGTTGGTCGTATTGAGAAAATCAAAATCGCAGGTACTTGATATTGTTTACGTATTATTTATCAATTAAATTATTAACATTTAAAACTTAAAGCATACATATAAATAAAATATATTTAACGAATTAGGAACAACATATATGGCGGCTTGTGGTCTTGAAGCTAGTCGTCGTGATTCTATGCACAGTTTAGAAAGTGAAGAAAATTCTAGCAACAATGTAGTCAAAGTTATGGCAGAATTTGCAGCGCAGATGATGGTCGTCTTGGATAGAATCAATGCTGAATCTAATTCTAAACCATATAGGTACGCGTAATTGTATATCTATTATTTGTCTCATAAAAATAGTTAATTAATTAGAAATAATACCCTAATAAAATATTGTGAATTTGATAAATTTATAGGTTGAGAATTGGCATATCGCATGGTGAAGTTTCAGCTGGTGTTGTCGGAGCTCAAAAACCTCTTTACGATATTTGGGGAGACGCCGTTAACATGGCATCAAGAATGGATACTACAGGATTGCCAGGCAAAATACAGGTTTGATTCGCGTATAATCTTTTAATCATATGATCATATCAATAAATTTGCTTCCGATAAGGGTATCATAAGCATAAAGGTATACACATAGGTATAATATTTTATTAATATGTATCCAAAATTATGATACAAACCAAAAGGGATTAATACTGCGTGCCAAAGTAAATCGAAAATGTAAAATGACTATTTTTGCTAATTGGAAAAAGGGGTTTATTTTTTTTTTTTTTTTTATCATAATTTTGGATAAATATTGTATAACGAGATGATGTTTACTGTTACAGGTAACTGCTGAAACTGCTAATGTATTAGAACAACAAGGTGTTAAATGTCATTTGCGCGGCGAAACATGGGTTAAACCAAAGGGATATGTCACGACATATTTCGTTAGTATAGATGAAAGGAGGCAGCTTCAAAGAACAGATTCCATAGAAGAAACTAGTCTCTAACCAATGAGTTAAATGAAATTATTTGATAGAATTGATTTATAGTGATTTTAATATTCACTTTAATATTTGGGTACTTGAAAAATGAAATATCAAAAACGCACAAAAGAATCATAACATACAGTGGGACAAACACCAAAGAAAGCTCAGGAAGAATGAAACATAGCACAAATAATTAAAGAATAGAGAACTTGCTATATCATTATGTCCAATCTCTACGATTATATCAAATGTGATTGTTCAATTCCTTATCTCATTCTTTAAGTGGATTTAACAATCTACCCCAATTATAGTTATTCGAAATGTTTAAACAAATCCTAACATAAATAGTTTTACCCATTATTATTATTACTATTTAATTTTGTTTCTTTATATTTATACATAATATTGTACAGTTACGTAGCTTTTTGAAAGATCATATATCACATCAAAATAAGTAATTAATAATTAACAAAATGTATATTGAGAGAGAATTATCTCTTGATCTACAAATGGTATTTTGATGCTAATTATTTTTCTAATCGTTAATATGATACATCTACTCTATCACTGAAATGATTTGAAAAATAATTGAAAGAAAAGAAAAAAGGAACGATTTATCTATTGTGTTATCTAAAGATAAGATACTATGTAATTGTTGTTAAAGTAAAAAAAAAAAAAGAAAAATCAATGAATCAATGGAAAATAATCATCAGTGAGAAATGTTGAATGGATAAAAGCATATATAAAAATGATGCAAGCTCACTGGCATAAATTATTTTTTAATTCATACTGCTTAAAAAATGGCAGTACATTTATAAATTATATAAAATATCTATGTCTTATTTATTTCTCAGTGTGTAAGTTATCATGAATCATCAATGAGAATTGAAATAACATCTTTATTTTTTCATCTTATTCAATGAATGTAATGACGAGTGTTTACTTATTTACTTGTAAATATCCTGTGTATATATTTTTTAACTAACATGAGAAACAATAACCGATATGGTTAATTGACAATTTAAATAAAAATATTTATTAAAAAAACAGAGATTATATTTTATTAAAACACAATATCAAATTTAAAATAAATAATAAAAATGAATATATTTATATTCACATAATATAATGCAAAAAAATTAATAATTATTAGAATATATTGTAATATATGGGTACAATACAAGTGCTAAAAGCCATTTCTTTAAAAATGGTCGGTAATAAAGATCCCTACGAAAGAATGACTAGTGAATGAAATTTGTATTCATTATTAGACCTAATTAGTAGCTCACTTGTGATAAAATCAGACTGCAATAATGAAAATCATTGTAAAAGCATTTAACATTTTGTACGTTTCATGTAATATTTCCGGATAAATTTACGTAACATGATTCAGATATTACGTTATAATATTAATACAGCCCATATGAGCGGATGAAAATCGTCTGCTACGTGTGTATATCTTATGTGTGGCAACATTAAGGACATTCATTTTCCTTGGCTTAAGCAGTGACATTTTAATTTCAAATTTTCTCAAGAAAAGTAATTTGTCAATAGCTGTGAGAGACGGATCGCTGAAAGAAAAACTAAAAAGATGGTAAAATAATCAGAAAGAAGGGTCGGATATTTAAAGGAGGCATACATTGAATTCGACGGATTTTGCTTTAAACAGAGGTTATATTGATCATCAGCATGACTTTCCACTTTCAGTTTGGATTTAACATGTTTCCGGAGATTCCGCGGCCCTTTAACACGCAGTACAAGTGCTTCTCCGTCTCGATGTTACCAGGAATTTATAGGCAAGATGTGGAACGCGGTGGAAAAAGTTAGTAGGTGATGTGTGTCAATTTGAAAGATATCGTTTCATGATTAACTAATTTATTGTCAATATTTCTTAATCATTTTTCTTTTTAGTAATTATGCCTCCATCAGCTCTAGAACAACTTACTAGATTAAATATTAATTATCCAATGTTGTTCAAATTAACAAATAAGAAAACTAATAGAATTACTCACTGCGGTGTATTAGAATTTGTAGCGGATGAAGGAAAAGTCTATTTGCCTTATTGGATGATGCATAATCTTCTTTTGGAAGAAGGAGAGTTGTTAAACATTGAAAGTGTATCTCTTCCTATTGCAAAATTTTCACGTTTTCAGCCACAATCGGAAGACTTTTTAGATATTACTAATCCAAAAGCAGTATTAGAAAATGGTTTAAGAAGTTTTGCATGTCTTACTACAGGAGATGTTATTGCAATAAAATATAATCAAAGAATATATGAGATGTGTGTATTAGAAACTAAACCTGGTCCAGCGGTTAGCATTATTGAATGCGATATGAATGTCGAATTTGCTCCACCTCTTGGATATAAAGAACCGGAAAGAGAAGCGAAGAACAATGAAAAGGATGTAGATCCATCTGAATTAATGCCAACACCTACTGGTTTTATACCATTTAAAGGACAAGGTAACAGATTAGATGGTAAAAAGCGTAAGGACTCGTCTCAACTTGATACGCTGACGAATAAAGTGGCCTATGTAAGAGGTATACCTGATTATGATTATAAAATAGGAACACTGAGGTTTCTAAGAAATATGAAGCCTGTTAACAACAAAGAAGTAAGTTTAATTTCATTTGTTGTTACGTATGACGTTTAATATATTTCATTATTAATAATAATTATTTATTACTCGTTATATAGATAAAAGAGCAAGACGAATTCAAAGCATTCACTGGAGAAGGTTTCTCCCTTAGAAAGTCAAGAAAATGATAATGCAATTCTAAATGAGTAATTCAATTGTAATTCGATAACATGGTCATATTTATCATTCTAATATTATGTTATCCTCAAAATGTATTTGTTAGTACAATCATCCGTTGACAGTATACTTGTATCTTTGTAACTTAAGTCAATACAAAAACATTTTTTAAATTTATAACATCGTTTCCTTATTAAACCTACACACACACAAACACACACTAAACCTATTATTAAATTATAAAGATTTATTTAAAGAATGTATGATTACTAAAGACTATGCTGATGCAATATAAAATCTTACTCGGTTATACATTTATAAGGTTTTATCTAATAATGTGTGGAAAAGAATCATAATTCAAATGATACATATAATATATATACAAGATATCTAAGGTTTTTTTTATACAAATGTGTGTGTTTTGCGAGAGAGAGAGAGAGAGAGAGAGAGAGAGAGAGAGAGAGAGAGAGAGAGAGAGNGAGAGAGAGAGAGAGAGAGAGAGAGAGAGAGAGAGAGAGAGAGAGAGAGAGAGATCATCTATCCACCAGCGGCTATGTTGTTATATGGAGAAACGGAAGATTAATTTATTTATGAGTTTCTTATCGCGAAATCGAAATTTTATTATACGGCGAATACAGTGCGATACACTTACCCTAATTCGCGTTTGATTTTAATTTATTATACTCCCGATGACCGAATCTACAATTAATTCAAAGATTATTATATTTCTGATAGATATTTTGATAGAATATTCTCTAAAAAATTATAATTTTAATTTATATTATATAATTTAATTTTTTTAAATATAAAATATAAAAAACAATATATTTTGTGTTTGGATTGAACAGGATTGAAGTTAAATCCAACAATATATATATGATCACCTGTAATAAAAATAAAAGTATATTAATTATACAATCAATAAATACAAGCCTAAAATACAAGTCAATTAGCCAAATTAGCAGATGCATTTTTAAATTTAATTCCCTATTTATTTTTATCAAATCTCTATTTCACATTGCATAAAATTACATTTTATGCAAATTTTAATTAAATTTTATATTATAATATATAATAATTAAGAAATATAGAAAAGCTTCAAATATTACGTTACTAAAAAAAAAAAATCAAATCTACTGTAATAAATGTGTACTACTTTTATACCGCGTCCTTACAAACAAAAATTCTAAATATATTAATATTCGATCAAAGTTAAAACTCATAAAGACAAAAAAAGTAAGAAAACGAACGATTGATGAGTTTAGCGTAAACATTTAAACAATTATATACTTATTAATATACTTTGAATATAAAATAATTTCGAACTCGAAGTAATAACTAAAGTTGCAATGTTTAAACAATCAAAAATATTAGTAGAGAACAATACTGTATTCGATATACCTTAAACAATTGTTAATTAATCGAAGGAAATGTATGTGTGCACCGTCCTCCTCGAAATCTCCCGTTAGACTAGCACGTTGTCCTCTATGAAAGTTCTTTTATTGAAAGTTGTTTATATGACTTTCCGAAAAAGGAAATTCTATTTATTACGAATATTATTCCCGTTATAGACATGCACATCCTTCGGAAAGTCATTATAAACAACATTTAACGTACTTTGAATAGAAAATAATTTTAATATGTTTTTAGTTAATTTTTTTAGATGACCGTCTTAAACTTGGTTCCATTACAGAACATAAACATAAAATGTTGCGATTACTTACATTATTCTTTTGTCAGTACTTTCTATGTAATGTTTATCATATTTTCTATGCTATACATTCTATTGCAAGTGAAATCCAATCAAAGACCACTTACCATAAACATTATAATTGTAATTAGTTTCTTTTAACTTCCTAATTAATATCATATTTTCATCTCTCCACAGTTTTGTTCCACCCATTCAATGAACTTATAAAAACTAATTACTTTATAAAATTTTTAAAATATTTTTTATATATTTACAGATACCATATGAAACAATAAAAAATGGTTGTAATTTAAGTTCGACAGGACTTTACCTGTATAGCTGAAATAAACTCAAAGGTACATCATTTTTTAACTTTTACAAAGCAGAATAACTATTACTGTACAACTAGAACGTTTTCCCATTAACGAAAAAGTACAAATATATTCTATTTAGTCATAAATATATGAAGTAAAAGTTTCACAATCAGTTAAAGTTCAGTGAATTCATTCATAACTGTTTTCTTAAAACAAAAAAGTTAAAAGTCAAAAACAAACTGTTTTTCATCAAAACTAATTGAAAATTTTAACAGTTTTCTTCAAAGAGAATCTTCGGAATTGTGTAATACTTATAATATAAAATACATGAAATATATTGAAAACAAGATATACATATATATTTGTCTAATTTTAAAACAGTTTTATTTACAATAAATGTATAATATATTTTTCAATGTTTTGCATAATTTCTTAAATATTTCGGTCAAATATAAGTCTAAGATGCAACGCATGATTCTCAATCTTACGAAATTCAAATACAAGTGTAAAGTTCAATATAAACCATACTTTTTCTATACTTAACCAACCAGCCGTCGCTAATGATTTCGTTTTATTTTTATAATTAATTCATTTTTGTATAATCATAGATAGTACTTAACTCTTTTTATATTCGATCCTCTCTACTTTTACATCATCTCCAACTAGCTGATATACATAAGTTACAACTGTGGAACTTTGTATATCCATTAGAACAAAAGATGGAATGACAGATCTGTAAATGTAATACGCAAAGTGTCAGGGTTGCGTAATAAGTAGTTCAATTTGTTTCGCCAATCATCTAATTTTTTTTTAAATTTTACTAACAAATGATTAGAGCATAATATTAAGAAGCAATATTTTGTATATTCATACACATATACATTTACACAATAATCTTGTGTTATTCAGCTAGAGACTTTTGAAAATTATATGCAGTATCCAGTTAAGCGTCTTGTCCAAATATGTTAATAAAATATAATGTACACTTGATATTATAGATTAGAGCTTACGTATCCAAGGGATTATATGCACCCGTTGCTGACCCAGGATTAATGTAAAATTTATTTTCATGCTCATAAGCTTCAAATTTATGAGTATGACCCGATATTAAAATATCAACATCCAATTGTCTTTGAATCAAGGCTAAAGCTTCTGGATCTCCCCACGGTACAACTTGATGACCATGTGATAATCCTATTCTAAATTGTCCAACGGTAACAACTTTTTGTTCGGGATAATTTAAATTCTATAATAACAAAAATTAGGTATTAATATGATACCCAAGCTAGAGAACGGTTATAAAAAAAAATGCATACCTCGTCAAAATCTCCTCTTACTACATGTACATCGCTAGCCAGCGTTTTTAAATAATCATATGATTCTTTCGTACAAAGATTACCTGTACATAATATATGTTGTATTCTACCTGGTACCAAAAGCTTTTTAAATTTGCTTGGAAGACTACTGCACCTATGTGGAATGTGCAGATCTCCCAATACTAAAACAAGCTGTACAAACAATGATAAATCATTGTAACATAAATAACAATAATTTTGCTTTAATCATTTATGTTTAATCATATATGTTTAATATAATTAAGATAGTAAGATAGATATACAATAAACTGGTTTTATGGTACTATGAAATATAGAATTTAGAGGTTAAAAAATTCATATATATATATTGATTAAAAGATCTCTCTCACCATGATTCTATTGGTAAAGTTTTTATAAAAGTACGCTTATTAACAGATGCCTTTTAACGCACTGCATTTATTAACAACTAATGAAACGTTATAATGAACTGTCAAACTAAACTAATGGGTGTAGTTGACAATTATATGCAACGATGTCTCGATTTTTCATTGGAAATTTCGATTAATCGAACATTGAAAACATAGCCGTGCTTACTAATAAAGTCGAACGTTTATTTTATAAGCTAATGGTAGTGATTATTTAGAATAAATTGGAATTAATCAAAGCAATAAACAAGTACAATTTTACAAATACGAAAGATACAATTTGCGATGTATAATGTATAACATATATGAAGTTCGAACGTTAAATGGCGGGAATATTTTCGAGTTGCTTTCCGTTCCAGCAAATTTATTTTTTATTTTTACTTAAATATTATTTCATAATTATACAAAATTAATTTCAATTAAATCATGAAGTGCGTGATACCTGGGGGAAATGTGAAAAGTATATTTATAATGAATATTTTATCTAGGTTATCTTACACACATTATAGATATAAAACATTTATTTTTAATAAATAATATATCTTTTGTGTAATAATATATTTAGGGAGGGGGGGGGGAGGGGGTATTTATAAGAAAATATTTATTTATATTATTATAACAATGTCATGTGTTTACAATTGCAGTTGTAGCAAAAGCTATCCATGCACTAGCAAAGATTGGAGATGAAATGTATGTACAACCGCAATCAAATAATTTATCCTTTCGTGCAGTTAACATGGCCAATTCTGCTTATGCTGACTTTACATTTTATGAAAATTATTTCTCCTATTACGATTTTGATGATCTTGAAGAAGACGAAGCTCTGAAATGTAAAATTTCTATGAGGGTAATTTCATCTTAATATTTAATGTTAATTTGTTAACGCTTTATTTAATTATATTATGTTTATGTTACAGAGTGCTATGACTGTTTTCAAAACTCTAAATGTTATAGATAAACAAGTAGAAACTTGTCATATCGAGTTAAAGCCAAATGCAGATTTTCTTTTTATTACCTTAAATTATAAAAATAGCATCAGAAAAAAACACATTTTACCTATCATAGATTGTGAGAAATTGCAAGTAAGTTTCACGTAACGTTAATTTTTTACTATTTTCATTTGTTCATTTTTTATTGATTATTATTTATTTCATTTCAATATTTTTCTAGGCTAAATATGTCAAAGACGGTGCCACTAACCAATTATCCGCACAATCTATTGTACTTGCAGATGCTATACAAAATTTCCAACAAAATTTAATTGAAATAACTCTTGAGATACTTCAGCAAAAAGTTTTGCTTAGAAATTATATAGATGATACATCTAGTAAGTCTTTTATCAAATTATTTTATTTTAAAAATCTTACTAATAAATAAAACATTTTATTTCTTAATATAGACATAGCTAACACAACAAGGACACAGTTGGTATTATTTAGAGGTGAATTTGATAAATATTCAGTTAACACAGAGACTGTTATTACATTTTGTATGAAAGAATTAAGAGCAATTCTTAATTTTGCTGAATTTGTTAAATTACCAATTAATATATATTTAGAAACTGCAGGAAGGTAAGTTGAATATATTAACGCTATGCCGTCCAGCACGTGTAATAAATTCTTTTATTTGACGCTAGCATTTATTCGATCAGTTTTAAATTAATTCTCATTGGCAATTAATGGTGGGCTTGCAAATGGTACTGCATTGATGTCATTGGACGACAATAGTGTTAATTACTTTTACCTTACGCTATTGTAAGATTGTTTCATTTTTATTTGCTTTTCCTTTTCTTTCTCTTTTTTTCTGATAGACCTGCTGTGTTCGTGATAAAAAATTCAACCTTTGAAGCAAATTTGGTATTGTCTACTTTAAATCCTGATGTAGATAGCCAATCCGAAACAACTGTTACTGATAAAGCAGCCAAATCTATACAAAAAAAGGCTACAGTTAAAAGGTCGACAAAACGATCAAATAAATCTTCAAGTAGAAAAAATAATACATCTATTTCTAATAAAACTATTAGTTATGCTTTATCACAGCAAAAAGAAACAAGTTGCATAGAAATAGAACGGGAAGCAAGAGAAAATGATATCCATGCATTTCCAAAAGAATATAATCAAAATGAAATTCCAGCAAATGTGAGTGTATCAGCTATGAGAAATATGTTCTCAAAACCAAGCGTATCAAGCGATCAAAAGAAGTCAGTATGTAGCGTATTTTCAAACATATTGAAAAGAAAGTCTAGCGAAGGTGGTACAATAGATTTGGACAATGTCGTTAAAAAAAATGATGACAATGACTTTGAAAATATTGTTCCTAGATCACCATCTCCTCCATCTAAAAAAGCACGCTTTATCTTTAAAAAATGTTTTCAAACAACATTTGATTTAAGTATGCTTCCTGGTCATGATGTAATCTTAGTTGAAGATTCAGATGAAAATAGTGAATAAATCTATTATTTATTTAAAATATTTACGTAAACTTATTCAAAAATTTGATTAAAAATGATTACTTCATTATTGATATAATTAAATTTTTTCAATAACTTCTTAATTTCACTGAACACTACGAAATGTTAACTAATCATTTTTTGTATGTCATCATGCAATAGCAATAGTAATAGTTTATTAAATTCAACTTACTGACCTGGAATTTGGACTTAATCTACATTTGGTTTCGGATGTCGCTCCCATAGCCTGCGTTTTCTCTTTACATTTCCTCACGTCCATCCTATCCTATTATCTCTTTTTTATTTTCTAACGTTAGCTGCCCTTTTGTTTCCCTTCCCATTCTCTCTTTCTTTTTTCTCTTCTTATTTGCCTTATCCATCTTATTGTTTCTTCTTTTCCTCCTTCATCCATGAGATCCTCAATTCTGATATTTTCTCCAACAGGTGTTTGAGGCAGCCTGTGTGTTAAAGAGTGCAATTTTTCTTTTTCGCTCTTCCTTGTTCCTGCATCTAAGTCTTACGACCGCCTTTATACTTCCTTTCCTGATATGTCATTGTGTACATACATAGTATTCAATTAATTTTTTGTCAATACATTTTTTAAATTATATAGAGCATTTTATTATAAGAAAATTAGTTTTACAAGACATCCCCAATCGTCTCAATAACATTATAAAATGCAAGGAAGGATCAACCAAATATTATTTACAAAAATAATAATTACATTTTTATTATATCCTACATAAGTACAAATACTCTTGTGAGACCAATTTTTTATCATGTAAGTAAAATTATATTTTTCTAAAAATAAAATGTTCTGTAGTAAAGTTTAGATCAATTTGAAAATTGAATAATTTCTAATTATGTTTCAAACAAATATGAAAATTATTTAAAATTTCTAGTAGAAGCGGGTATGAATACTTTTGTGACTTATTTAATTCAGTATTCAGCCATTGAGTGGCGTAGGATCGATAAGTAACCTACATGAATAAAAAAATAGTGATATTATAGTGTATAAAGTTAATAATTTAATAATCTTAATAATAAACAACAAAATAAATGATGAAGAATGTTAACTTAGCATTAGGGTTATCCGTAATAAGTGGTATAGGTGGTTGGTATGCAGGAAAATATTCAGAACGAGGAAAATCTTCTCATGTTGTGGAAAACAATGGAACAAATATTTTTCAAAACATTAATCGTATGCTTGGTTTACCATTATTTGGCACAGTATTTGGAGCTACTCTATCAAGACCTGTAGATATTGAATCGGATATGGGCTCAAAATTATCTACGACTGCAACAAGAGTATCTCAGGTAATTTAAAATGTTCAATGTTAATTATTTTTATTTATAATAAATATATATATATATATATATTTTGATGCAAATGTAAGAAAAAAACAAAATATATATATAAAATTACAATCTTAAAATATTGTCAAATCATATGAGTTTCTGAATATTTGTTATATTATAACAATATATAATGTAATGTTTCAAAAAAATGTGGTAATAGTACACATTCTTGTACGGTCTATTATTGTTAGCCATTAATATCTACTCTTAGACAATTAATGATAGATTCTGTTAACTTTAACAGATTATGAAATTTGGTTTCCCTGGTTATGATAACATCAGATCATATGAAGATTTTGTGTTATCTTATGACAGAAGAAATCGTGTCGCTCATTGGGTATTTGAACATTTAACGAAAGAAAGATTACAATATAATGAAACCGTAGATCGTTCAAAGTGTGAATTTAAGCCAGATACTAGTATACACCCTTATTTTAGGTATTTATTTGTATATTTTTTATCCTCGATGAGCCCATTAATTGCTGTTATGATTTATACATCAATACAGATCGGATAACAGCGATTACAAAGGAAGTGGTTATGATCGTGGTCATTTAGCTGCTGCTGGAAATCATAAAATGCACCAAGGCCTTGTGGAAGAAACATTTTTTCTTTCAAATATGGCACCACAAGTTGGCAATGGTTTTAATCGCCACTCTTGGAATAGATTAGAACAATATGTGAGAAAATTAACTAAAGTTTATAAAGATGTTTATGTTTGTACCGGTCCATTATATATTCCAAAGTAAGTATATTAATATAAATAAATATTAATAAAAAAGATATGAATAGAAAGAAAAAATTATAACTTTTAAGGAAAGAAGGTGCAGATGGTAAGTTGTATGTACGCTATGAAGTTATTGGTGCAAATCATGTCGCAGTACCAACACACTTTTATAAAGTAATCGTTGCAACAACTGATAACTCAAATTTTGAAATGGAGGCTTATGTAATGCCAAATATGCCTATTGATGACAATACTCCTCTTACAAGTTTTCAGGTAATTTTTTCAAAATACAAATATATAACCATATTATTTAGTTTGATTTTTGATGCGATTATAAAGAAATTTAACATATAATAGGTACCACCGGAAACTATTGAAAGAGCTGCAGGTCTTTTATTTTTTGATAAACTATCTCGTGAAAAATTGACAAAAATCAATGGGAAAAATATAGCTTAATTTAATTTCAAATCTAGAATGAGAAGTAGTTTTTATAGTTAATTTTTTTACGTCAATAGCAATAGTCGGAAGTGATCATCAATCAAAATATTAACCGTGTCGACCGTTGCTTGACTTTTATGATTGTACAGGAATTAGATTTTTAACGAGACAAGACTATTGATGCAAATGTAAGAAAAAAAATGCAAATTGTATATGCAAAGAGTTTTATGAAATAATAAAATGTATTATCATTTATATTTTGAGATTTTATTGCTTTTTGTACAATTGATGATTGAAGCTTTCATCATTTATATTATAATAAATGTAGTACCTAATCTCGCATTTTATCGATCACGAAAATAAGTACTTGTAGAAAAAAGTACATATATCCATCTTTAGACAGTTTTAGGCACGACCACAGGAAATGACTTAATTAATATCCAAATTTCAGTCTAATAAGAAATAAAATTATTTCCTTTTTTTAATGTGTCTTCCTAAAGTTGTTCGATTCATTTTGCAAAATAATTCTGTCCATTTTAATATCCTCATAGCCGGAAAGAAAGTTAATTTATATTTTTAAATTGTATTATCTTTAATTATTAATTTCCGGCTATAGGTATGTTTTACACGTGTTAACATAAAAAAATTACATAGCACGTCATACAGTGTTATATTATTAGTATAATAGTAGATAGATAGTATTATATCATTAAGACTTTTCATGGAATTTATATGTATATATATATATATATATATATATATATAAAGATTACCATTTGCCATGTCGTGTCATGTCTAAAATGCGCAGTATATCATATCGATGATTCTCTTACACGTGTATTAAGTCTACTGGAAAGTTCTGCCTGTTTTTTAATTAAAAAAAAAATAATACATTATCAATACGCTAAATGCCTAATACTGAGATGATGAAACTATTGTTTCAGTAAATTTAAAAAAGCACATATGTAGAAATACAATGGTAAAAAGAGGCACAACCATTCTGGGCAGACAAAACGGAATGACATTGTCGGACAGAATTTTTCATATAGACCTAATATATAGTTTATTATTTAATAAGTATTTTGAACGCGTTCTTGGTCGAGTTAATTCTCGCCATTACTTTGGTCACAGTAGTAATATTACATACCAAAGAGTACATTTTTTTGTTAAAATACTATGTTAATTTTTAAATACAGTATTAATTCATATAAAATCCTATTAACAAAACCATTAATAAATTTGATTACTTATAAACTATTTTTTATTTACATAAAATTAACAGATGTGATAACATAGCGAAGCAGTTTTCGCCAAATGTTTTCATATTCTTGTTATTCATTTACGCTTATATTCTACTTTGACCAATGTTGGTACATATCCAATGTCAAAAAATTTCAAAACTTCTATATTTATTTATAATAATTTAGGCACTAATATATGGACGGGTTTCGTTATTTGAATGCTGCAATTATGTATCACTTACATGGTAAGGACACTTATTACAGCTTTAAGTACACTTTGTGTGATATTTATCATACATTATCTTCGAATAAATAGAAAAATACCAAAAGAATGAAAAGCAAGGCTCTTCATTATTTTAACGGAGTTTACATTTAAAGTTTCCAATATTAACAATGATTATACAGTTTGACTATTACAATCTCCTTGCCACTCGTTGTTGTACTTGTATCGTCGTGAGTTCTATCTTCTTGTTAAAAAATCTAATTTCAGTAATATATTTATAACAACACTGCATAAACTAAATTAATATGTAATCTGTAAAATACTGCACACCTTTAAATATCGCGTCTTTCCCTTCCTATTTCATCTTTGTCTCATTTTTGTATGTTTTTCTTGCTTTCGTATTCTTTTGTACTTTTCTTATAACTTCTATGAGAAGTGACTTTGTATTTTTGTATTCTGTTTGTTTCTTTTCTCTTTTTTTTTTACGTTTAACAGCTTATGAAAGATTTCAACATGTTTATACCATTATAGCATGATATTAATTACCAATGAAATAATTAAGCAGCATAGACTAGAAAACGCAACGAAACGTTTGATGATATGCCACTTGAAGATTCGTTATCATCCAATTCCTTTAGTAAATGTAACAATAACGACTTACGCACTCGAAAGACTAGGTTGCGTACAATGCTGATTACTTATTATTATCGAATCATATAAGCTCTTCAAATCAGTCTTTCCTCCGGTGGAGGTTTCATTACGTTGTCCATTTCTACTCGCGGATTGCTAAATTCCTGAGCACTCGGACTGTATGTACCGCGGGTGGCACGTTTCTTCCTTGCCATCATAAATAAGGCTATAAGTGAACCCGCCGCAATAAGAAATAAACAACCAACGATGGGTCCTACGATGATAGCAATATTGAATGCTTGACTCCCGAGTGGATGTCCAGACTGAAAAATTGAAAAAGTAATACAAGAACAAATTGAAATATAATCAAAGTTATTTTATGAACAGTTAATTATAGATAGTTGTAATTATTTTTCTGACCTCTGTACAATTTTGTCCAGTATACTCTAGAGTACACAAACATCGATATTCACCATCACTTGTGCACCGACACGTGCCTCCATTTTTGCAGTGATGCTATTAACAAAATAAGTATACGAAATCGGATCTATTATGTTGAAATATTTATGAAAAAGGAACACGATTGAATACTTACTTCTTTACAAGGGTCATTCATTCTACAATTATATCCACAGTATCCAGGATTACAAATACATTGATAAGTACCAAGCAAGTTTTCACACTTTCCGTATCCACAGTCAGTCAATGGATCTTGACATTCATTTACGTCTAAAGAACAATCTAGTCCCGTATAACCGGTGCCTGAGCAATCGCATGTAAATTCATTCACCTCGTCGTAACATTTACCATCATTTTTACACGGCACGTTACCATCCACGTCTGGTGCACAATCGTCTATATTTATTTCACAATAAAGTCCCGTATAACCAAGGGGACATATACATCGAGGAGTCTAGAAAAATAAAAAAAATAAAAAAGAAAAATCATTAAAGCGTCACAAGATTTCTCAATTATGCGTCAAGTATGATAGAACTATGTTCATAATCTTAAGTTCAATTGATAAGAAATCGATAATCCGTCTGGTGGAAATAAATTCGATAAATCTTACCGAATTACAAAAGATATTAGAGCTTTTATTATGAGATAGCATTAAGATAGATAAATCAATAATACCTGATTTAACAAATCACACGTGCCACCATTTTGACATTCCTGGACTTGGCAATAAGGCAGATCGCATTGGGTGCCCTCAAAACCAGACATGCAAGTACATGTGAAATTATCGCCTGTTTTTGAATTTACGATATCCGTACAAGTTGAACCATTTTTGCAAGGTTCGCTTTGACACGTGATCAGTCGAAAATGTTCGCAATGTTTGCCAATAAATTGATCGGGACATTCGCAACGAAAAGATCCAGGTTCGTTAACGCAAACGCCGTTATGCTGGCACGGACTGTGATCCGAGATACATTCATTAATATCGTTGTCGCATCTAAAACAGAAACGATAAGATCTAGATAAGTTAAAAGAGACATACGAGAATCATTATCAGTAATCTTTATCAGAAACTATTGTATTATGACATTGTTGCAGTATAATCAATCATGATTCGTGATCAAATGAGAAAAAACACGCGAAACATTTCGTTATTTGAAGGTAAATGTAAAAAAAAATCAGATATTTCATACTTGATATAAGTTAGTTAGTCTATATATGTGTAGGTTTACTTACAACCGACCCTGCCAGCCACTGTTACAAATGCAGCTATAATTAGCAATCTCATCGACGCAAGTTGCATTGTTTTGGCATTTATTGTCGATACATTCGTCGATATTGGTAGAACAATCATCTCCTGCATAGCCCGCTAGGCATTCGCATACATAGCTATTTTCTTTGTCACGACAATGACCGTCATTCATACAATCGATACGATCGAAACATAATTGGCAACCGATATTGTTACTCAAATTATGATTTTTTAGAGATAAGTATTCAAAAGGTGTAAAGTTAGCGTTTTGGTATACCTCTTCGTTAGTAAAGTAATGCAATAACATGCTACCGATTCTCACTTCGCCCAGGCAACCTTTAAATGCTTCTCCTAGAAGGATATAAGTTAATTATGAAACATTAGTTTATTTTTTGCAGTGGCATTGTTTTTAAAATTAACAGTAGTTATAAGATCTTAATGGGAATATTATTGACATCGCCTATAACGCCTATTATCGTAAATAAAATGAAGTTTTGAAGGAAAAACAATGGAATTCCTGGAGACTTTTTCTTGTATAATAATTGATATGAAAAGAAATAATTGTAGGAAAATACCTGATATCATTTGATGAGGTGGCGTAGCAGTAGTAAGAACGTAATCAACAGTATTTTGTTTAATAGCTTCCCTGTTCGTAACTTGATTATTATTTTTCAGAGTAAAGTAAGCATTATGAGTAGAAAAAGTATTCCCTAATCCACCTAAAGTTACTGTACCGTTGAACAACAATTTATACCATAGTGCAAAGCTAAAATTAGGGCTAACTTGCGGTGCGTTTTCGTCGTTGCTATTTTCATAAGTGCACTCCATGGAATTGTTATTTAGTCGTAGTATTATGGACGTCCAATTTCCATCGGGTTCATTTTTACCAAAACTCAAGATACCATGATTCTGATCATCTAGTCGCCAGGAAACAGTGATATTGTCTTTATAAACGGACACCGTAAAATGTTGTTGATCACCTAGGTGAGGTGCCATGTGCATCAAAGTACCACCAGTATTCGATCGATATGTTATTCGAATAGTATCGACAGTAGTGTCGGACTCGTTTCTTTCTTCCATTTCCATTCGACCGTAAACGTAAGTGAATAAAGTAGCGTTGCCATCGAATGTAGCATTAGCGATACACTCATACCCATCGTCGAGATTCTGACACTTGGAACCTGCTGGGCAATCTTGCAGTTGACAAAATTCCATTTCTTGGCAAGTTTTGCCGGTATAACCGCGAGGACACTGACACCAGAAATCGTTCCAGGTAACGTGGCAAGTACCACTGTGGTTACAGGGATTGCTAATACACACGTTGTCGGATAAAACCCCTTCAAGCACTTTGTCATGGTCGAAGGTAACGTTGCCGAATTGCGTTGGTGTAGGTATATCTTTTGCCTTTGTATAGAAGTGAATTATTGATTTATTAGAGAAAAATAATATTTCTAGAGAAGATTCCTTTAAATTATTAATTATTAAGAATGAACTACCTTTAAAGGGAAGAATTCCACAACCATGATTTCGTTGCCATTAGATATTTGTACATCCTGTATGATTCCTTTGAAATTAATTTGCGGCACTTGTTGAATTTCCATTTGACGACTGTCGACTTGTCGTATATATCTGGATGCTTGTGGTAAACCTCCCAAATAAAGGACAGTAACGTTTAATTGTCCCGAAGCGCTAATGGTCTTGCGAAAGTATTCGGTGCCGTTGATCTTAACTTGGACCAACGTCACGTTCCTGATAACTTGGATCAAATGGTTGTTTCCGTCGTTTAATTTAACACCACCTACCGTATAGGCCTCGGTACCATTAAATTGGATTCTAACGAGTAATTCTCCTCCTTCCAATTGTGCCGCAATGTAAGTCTTGTCTTGAGACTTGGAATCTATTTGAGGAGCCGGTTCAGATCCTAAATAGAATATGTCACCCATATCTTGTCTCGTCCGTATGAACATCGAAATATCAACGATCGATCTAACAGCTTTCCTTGCCATATCGGAAACTTTAACTGTGACGTAACCATTAGTGATGTTCTCAAAACCAAATGTGGCAGCTGTCATATTGTACTGGCACGTGTGACCTAAATACGGTCGCTCGCACTTGCAAGAGAAATCCCGCCAACCGTCTGTACAATGACCCCCGTTTTTACACGGATTTGGTTCACATTGTTCTTCACGTGGACACCCCGGCTCGATACCTTCCATGTACACTGTCTTAGACGTTGTTCCTGAATATACCTAAAAGTACAGGATCTATTATAGATAAGTTTATCAAATAAAACATTGATTTTAAGCAATTAAGCTTTTCATTTTAATTAAGCACCCATTCTCCATTAATAACGACGTCCTCGGTACAGCCTATAAAAAAAGCCGGACCATGTGTAAGTCCTCGAAGAGAGTAAATAGTACCACCAACGTATGTCATTGGGAAAGAAGTGTGATTTGAATTAGATCCTTCGTTCAGACTAATTGGATATATCGTTTGTTCTTCGTTGGCCGATAAAACCAAATGCGTTGTATTGATAGCTACGAAAACTTTTTGCCACGATGAATTGTTTAATCCACTACCAATGAAAACGCCTTCCCATTTATTCAACAGGCTCGAATGTAAATTGAGTTTGCCATTAACGAGTTCAAGAATGTAAAACGTTAAACCTTTGCCAATAGCCAATAAACCATTTGGTAGGGTTGTTCGAAAACGAAATTGAATGTCGTATCCTTCCTCACGAGTAGTGTTGACCAGAACATATGAACTACCGTTCAACGACATGGTAGTCACCTGGAAAATAATGACATACTTATAAGTCATGTCCATTTTTGAATACACAAGATTTATTCATTTAAAGATCAGCACTTTACGTACCTTTCTCTTTTTCGAAAACATTGTGCAACAAGTATGAATTACTTATATTAATAGTGTGCTGTGTGAACGTTATCGCAAATGATCTACCTTTTACATGTACGAACAAAATAAAAAATCTATGATGCGCGTGTGCGTGCGTGTGTGCTGCGTGTAAAAAGAAAGGAGTCAAGAAAAGTACATTAAATATGATTGATGAAATAAAAAGATCGAATACAATTGATTTTAACTATGCGAACACGAAGGCTGAATTTTGTCAATTATTTTCTCCGTACATGTAACTGATTCTCGCGTAAGCCTTACTTACATAATTACATATTTCACCGTGGAAACCATTTGGACAGGTACAGTTGAATCTGTGTATCTTTTCATCAACGAGATATGGCCAACAAGTACCGTTATTTTGACAGGCATTACCCATACAGCCCGTTAATTCAACGGAACAATTCTTTCCGCCATATTCGGGTTCGCAAGTGCAAAAATAATCAGCTCTACCATCAGTACAGACACCGTGGACGCAAGGAGTGTATCTTTTGCATTCGTCGATATCATGCTGACAGTGATCACCTTCGAAACCTTCGTCACATTCGCATGTAAATCCACCGATGCGATCGATGCAGCTACCAGCTAAGCAAGGATTACTCTCGCATTCGTTTATGTTTACTTCGCAATTTTTACCAATTACTCCCTGCACGCATAAACATTCGTATCTAAACAAAGAGAAGAATCAGTTAATTTGAAATAATAGGGGTTTTTATAGGTATAATATAATTAATAAGGAATACTATACCAACCCACTGGCATTAGCATAACTGAAGTCTTGTGTGAATATAGAAGGTAAATTGAACGCCTCGCTTTTGTACAGTTCTTTATTGGATCTTTCGAGGCAAGTACCGTTAAATTGACAGGGTGAACTTTCGCATTCATTTATATCTATTTCACAGTTTTTCCCGGTGTAACCAGGATAACATTGGCATTTGTAATTCTTAATATCGTCGATGCAAATGGCATCGTTGACACAAGGAGCGGATAGACAATCGTCTATGTTTATTTCACATCTGGATCCTTCAAAACCAGTGTCAGTACAATCACATGTATAATCATTGACACCGTCCATGCATCTGCCGTAATTGAAACACGGCAGTGGTTCGCAATCGTCGATATTGATTTCACAATTAGTTCCACGAAAACCAGGTGCACAATTACAAGTGTAAGCTGCTACTTCATCTATACACGTTGCACCGTTCAAGCAAGGATCACTCTCGCACTCGTTCACATCTATGTCGCATATCTTCCCGGAGTAACCAGGTGGACACTTACATTCGAACGTATTTATTCGATCGATGCAGGTTGCATTATTTAAGCAAGGCCCCCCCAGACATTCGTCAATATCGATGTCACAGTAATCACCGGAGAAGCCGGGTATGCAGAAACATTTGTAACTTCCTTCGGTATTCCAGCATATACCGTTGTTACACAAGGAGTTACCTTTAATCTCACATTCATTGATATCTTGATCGCAGAATGAACCTGAAATTAACAGCAAATCGAACATTTCATTTTAAAACTTAAAATCTAATTTGACAATTTAACTGGACACAAAGGTAGGTACCTTGAAAACCAGGGTGACATTTGCATTCGAATCCGTCGTCTCCTAGATCGATGCAAGTTCCATTGTTACACGGCTTTTTAGCACAGTGATAAACGATAAGAGTGCAATTTGGATCTCTGTATCCTTCACGGCATTTGCATTCATGACTGTCGATACCGTCGACGCATACCTTGTCATCTGGACATATCACGTCTACGCAATCATCTACGTTTACGTCACAGACTTTACCTTCGAATCCTCTCGGACATTCGCAAACGAATTCTCGTCTTGATCTTGGTATTAATGTACAACTTCCATTATTTTGACAAGGATTTAAGGAACAAGCATCGAATTCTTCTTCACAATGTTGGCCCATGAAATCTTTCGTACAATTACACGTGTATTCGTTTACTCGGTCGATGCACGTGCCACCATTGAGACAGGGTTGCGAAAGACATTCATCCACGTTGATTGTGCAATTCCTTCCTATTTGTGTAATATTAGATTTTTATAATATTAGATTTTTATAATATTAGATTTTTTTAATATATATACATTTTATTATTATACATTTTTTATTATACATTTTACATATATATTATATTACGAATTATTCCAAAGTAGAAAAGGTGAACAAAAACAGGAGAAAAAAGAACAGATTGTACCAGTGTAACCAGGCAAACATTGGCAGTAATAACTGTTGTGCTGATCGATGCATATACCACCATTTCGGCAAGGATCGCTAGAGCATTCGTCCATGTCAATGGAACACTCTGGTCCTGTCCATCCTGGTTCACAGGTGCAATAATACCCTCCAAGCTGTTTTCATGATAAAACGAGTAACACATAAAGCAAAGAAAGCTTACACATAATATGTACATAGGAGTGGTCAGTATCGCACCTTAACATAAGCCAAATGTCAATAAATCACACTCACATAATCGTGGCAAGCAGAAGCCTGTTTGCAAGGTAGATTGCGACAGGTAATCTGTTCTTTGCATTGCGTTCCTGTCCAAAATCGTGGACACTGGCACATGATGCCATAAACTGTTTCAATGCATGTACCACCATTATGACATATTGTACACCAATCCGAAACTGATGTTGAACATGTAGCACCTGATAAATCGACACGTACCACGAGGTAAGGAAAAACACAAGACAATTTACACCCAGATTGTATTTTATGCAAGAAGAGAGAATAAAGGACGAAACCAAGTAACATAGAACAAGTTTAATAACTTGTATAAGTTTCAGTTATTATATATGTACATAGATAAGTATTTGTTGATATTTCTGAATAGATTGCAAAAAAAGAACATTTTAAAAGCAAACATCCGGACAGACAAGCAATTGGTAAGAATATGATTTGCGATGAAAAATAAATGAAATGTTGAATCGATGCATAAGCGAGAGAAATAAGAATTATCGTTTGTCGACTAATTACCTTTCCATTCGGGCGTACAAGTGCAGTTGTATCCATCCTTAGTACTGATACATGTGCCAGCATTAACGCAAGGATTACTAGCACAATAGTTGATGGTACAATTTGGCGGAATACCCATATAACCAGGATTGCAAACGCACTGTTCTCCGTGGGAATCCCTGACGCATATACTATTCGATGGACACGGATCAATTTCACAGATACTCCTTGAATCACAATGACGACCAATGTAACCGGTTGGACAGACGCAGTGATAGGAGCCAACGTCGTCGATACATTCACCTCCGTTCGCACATGGATTTGTCAGACACTCGTTCAAGTTCAGCTCACAATTCTGGCCCTCGAAGCCGCTTGGACAGTGACACATATAGCCACCGTAATTATCGTAACATACGCCGTTGTTAAGACATGGTTTTGCGAGGCATTCGTCGATGTCTATCTGGCAATTTGATCCTTCATATCTGAACAGACAATTTGAGAATATGGTTTTATATACTTTATATATATTATTTGGCTACAGTTGAGTCCTATCATACGAAAACGTTCACATGTTTCATAATTTGTGCTCACATGCTTCTATTTCTTGTTTTCTTTTTTATTTTGTTCTCTCTGATTTTCTTTTGGCCGATAACGCAGGGTTGTGTCAGGGTACAGTTAGTTACTCGACCATAGATCTTTTATTAGTATTCATTTGGCTCGCGACAATTATTATTTATTAAAAAAGGATGCTGAGGTAACCCATAATGTGATCGTTTTCTTATAAACTGACTCGTAAAAAAGTACCCCGTTCTATCGCATATGCAGGTGTAGTTATTGATCCCGTCTATACAACGTCCACCGTGTTTGCAAGGATAAGACGAACACTCGTTGATGTTAGTCTCACAATTTTTTCCTGCCCATCCTGGTAAACAATCGCATTTGTATTCGTTGTCCGCGAGCGCTAAACAAACGCCGTTATTTTTGCAAGGACTTTCTTCGCAAAGTCGAACACCTAATTGCGATTCGCAGGATGCACCTGTGTATCCGGGTTGACAGTTGCATGCGAAGTCACCCTTTTTATCTTCGATACAGATTCCACCGTTCCGGCACGGATTACCCAAGCATGGCGGACCTACAGAATGGCAGACATACAAAAATATTTGTTCAATCAATTTTAAAGAATAATTGGAACGTTATTAGAAACATTGGCTCGCCCGAAAAGTTCGTGCCGATTTACAAATGTACGAAATTATTTATATAGATTGTTATTTATTATAAAATCATTTGCTTAAATCGGATTTTCGAATTTTCCTTGCAATCTAATTATATATATATATATATATATATATATATATATATTGATGGATATACGAAGAAGGATTACATGACATACAAAATATTATAGTTCTTAAAGAGTATTTAAATTATCGACGATTATATTTAACTGAGCTAATGTAATTTAGATTAATTTAATAAATAAAATCTCATCCTTACGTTTTTTACGCTCATATAAAGCCTACATCTATGGTCTGTAACATATAATACTTGGAAATATTGTAATAGCGAAATCGCTATATACTACACATGCATATTTACGAGCTATTCAATGAAGTTGTTTAGAAAAATCAATTTTATAAACAATTTCTATCATACATTAGTATGAGGTAAATAGGACATGCATGCTCTAACACGAAGGTACACTACTCTAACACTACTTGATAAAAAATATGAAATGTAATGAACTGTAACATGTTTATATGCCAAGAATGCAATTCCTCACGGTTTCTATTGCTTTTTTTTTTATCCATTTTGTTTCTATTAGTGTGGAAAAATTCTTATAGCATATTTATTATTGTGATCTACCATTATCGATTTGACAGTTGTTGCCGGAATATCGTGCGTAACAGTGACACTCGTAACGGTCCTGTCGTGATACGCATTTACCATGCATCATGCATGGTTCGTTGCGACAAACGTCCATGGTGGAAGCTGTAGCTGATGCTATACCGCTTCCAAGGCCATTTGGACCACCTGAAAGTTGTAAAAAAGAAAATCTACGATAGGGTCTACACGATGCACTACATACGAAAACTTTGTGCAAAAATGTTGTAAAATAAGAAAGGATAAAAACAAAAGTGCATCAATTCAAGTCCTACGTTTTACTAATATTGTAACTATACTTATAAGTCGAACAATTTCTTTTGAATCTAGCAGAAAATATATTTTTAACCGATTCGACATCGGAGCTCTAAATATGCTGATAAATGAACAACGTATTTCTATCGGAATATTCCGCTCTTGGATAAGTATTAATCGTAGGAATTCTATAATATTGTGATCATCTATTTTTACAGTATCCAACACAATGTTAAACACTGAAATACTAACCAGTTCTTACATAATACAGATTGGAAACGGCTAAGTATTCATACAATAAACAAGTGGATGGAAATTGTATACCGATGACGTACCGATGACGTACCGATGACGTACCGATAGCGTACCGATCACGTACCGTTTTCGTTTCATCCTCCTTTTACTTACATATTAACCCTTTGCATTCGAGATGTTACTCTCGGTCAAAGGAATTGTTACAGGTCAATGCAATGCCGCTATAAAAGGTCCCGCCGAGTGTAAATGGGTAACATTTTATTTCTTACGTAGAACTACGCTTTCAAAGCATACTACTTACGTAAATAATTTGTAAGTTTAACAAGGTAGTTTCTAAAACGTATGATATAATGCTCTACTCACATCCTTTACTGTCTGATGGACATGGTCCGAATAAAGCTCCATTGTTGATAGATTCGTTAAAAAGTATACCGGGACCCTGGAGTATACATCCTCGAAAATTTTCACCAACGATCAGTGAGTTATTAACATTGTAATCGGGTAGAGTTAAAATTGCAGAGTTGTATGTAGCATTAGCGATAACCTATAAACAAAATGGTTACTTTTTTCAAAAAGAATCATGAATATCTATTGCGAATAGTAAACTGCACGAGTCACACGAATAAACGTTGCATTTGTAATAATATATGAGAAAAATTAGGTTTATGTTAAACGCGTTAATAATTTTCTCTCCATCGTTTACTTCAACAAACCGTACCCTTACGTATCTTATAATATGTTTTTATAATAATGAATATAATAATGCTTGTTATAAATTAACCTGTGTGTGCCCAGCTGTATTCAAAGTAAGATTCCCAAGTCTGAAGAAAAGATTGACATTATGCCAGGCGTTGTTCAGTAATCTGGCGTTAAGCCTTGCTTCGTAAACCTGCTGATTTACGATGGCAACGAAGAGGAGTCCATCGTGGGTGACCTCGAGACTTATGGAGTCGTCTTTGTACCTTTGAACAAAGAGTCTCCCACCTTCGCAAGTTCGAAAACTTAAGCCGCTATGCCTGTGCACGGAGACGAAGGAATTTAACTTGAGAAAAGATGAACCATTAAAGTATGCCTCTCTCGGATGATCTTCGGCATCCTTTCGACGAACGTCCTGTGGTGCTTCGTGTGTGATCACCAATAGGCTGGTCAATACTACAACAAAACGTATTATCTAATGTTATCCAAATATTGAAAAACCACTAATTGGAACAAACAAATGGCCATCTTGTTATGCAAATATTCATGCGTGCCTCCCTCTTCAATAAAGAAGGAGGTGGAGAGGGAGAACCACGCGAGAAGCGTGGAGAGGGAAAAGCCAAGTACCCCATTTGGGTTTGACGTAACGGGTCTTCCTCTGCCATGACCAATAGACGCACACTAACGTATATATAATGATCAAAGATCGTTCTCTTCCAAGTACGACGAGCCTTTCGATATTCCGCATAGAGAACCAAGTTTGAGTCACGCCATAGAGATAAATAATAATAAAATGGAAACCGAAACAAACTTCCTAAAGTCTAAACCGGTTATAATGCATTGTTTGTTGAAATAAATTACTATTGCGAGTTCTCTCGCAACAATATTATTGCATTTATATAAAATTATAGAAACAGTGCACAAAATTAGATGATTATCAAATTTTACAATAATTTGATTAAACATTATATTAGGTTTAAATGACTGCAACCATTAGTAGGCTTCGTTATGACACGTCGTAGTTGCAAACGATATTTCTTACAGACCGCAAGAATTCGAAAACGGACCGCGGTTCGTGCACTACTAGTTTCAACCGTTGCTTTACACTACTACTGGATTTGATTAAAATATCGAATATGAATGAGTCGCCACGACAAACCCCTAACTTGGATTAATTTAGGTTCATTGGTGTTAGTCCAGGGCCCCCCTAAGGCTAACGATCCGCTTCTGCTCACACTATAATTAGTTTATTATCATAATATTTTAACAATGTTCTTTTTAGGATAAAAAAAGAAAATATATATATTTATCAAAAGATATCTATTTTTGTTATAAAAGAGAGATAGAAGATATATAGAAGATATGAGTCATCGGGTCCAAAGACACACATCGAAAACGACGTTCCGTAATCATGATTCATAACGTGTGAGCGTTTGAGTTTCCGTATCCTTTTCGCATGAGCGCATGCGATACGTTCAAGGATGGTCATGGGAGGAACGACATCACCTGTCTAGCATACAAAACACTTACTGGTGGAAACAATAAGACTTTGTATAACTATGTGCAATAGGTAAGCAGTATGCACATGTATGGTCCGAACAACGTATGTGCAGTGTTTTTACATATAATATATATATATATATATATATTATTAATAAAATACAAAGGGGCCCTAGTAACGTTGAATTATTACTAGTTCCCGTCAGATCAAGTCAAAGTCAAACAACGTGGGCACGGTTAGTAAAATGGATGGGTGACTAAAAGAAATAGTAGTAGGCAAGTCTTTAGTAGTCAAAGAGAGAGAGAGAGAGAGAGAGAGAGAGAGAGAGAGAGAGAGAGAGAGAGAGAGAGAGAGAGTAAAATTATCTACATTATAGTATATGGGTGTCCGAAAAAGTCAGGACCAAAGTTATACCACGCGTTAATCGATACAAACTTGTATGACAAAAATGTCAAAAAATACTTGACATGACTCGAAGACATGACTCGAGCACCTAGAAGCATCGAACTCTCCGTTCGAACGAAGCTCAACCCGTAGAGAAATTGTGTCGCATATTACGGCAAATGAACAAAAATACAAAGTGTTGATACAATGAAAAATAAATACTCCTCCATACTTTGATTTTTTTTATTTTGAAACTTAGGCAAAACTGGCTCCATGTGCTAACGCCCTTGTGCCAACGCTCTTGTGCCAATTGCAATTCGGGATTTATTTATGTCGAATATATTCGTTGTTATAATAGAATCGTGTTCATACTCGTTTTCCCACGTACGAGAACGAGCTTCTATATAGGTAGACGATTCTATATAGATGAGATTACGAAAATTTGTGCATTCGTGACAACTTGGTAAACAATGCTTGCTGAATGTTCTCTGCTGAAATGTTACTGTCAATCGTGAGTAGATTCGTCACGTATAATCGTTTCTTTCGTATACGAATGAAATAAAAGGAAAAAAATATACTTACAAATCGATAGAGTCTATTATAAAGAAATTTACTCTAACATAAGTTAAGTTTAATTGTTATTTTGGAAATTTTTAGATAGAAGACTAGCTTGAATCTTACCTTCCGGGATACGCTACCCATTTAGATGGAAGAAAATTTCTATGAGAATGTAAAATACCGGTTCTTTGATCGGTTTATGAATCAGGGAATGGATCTTCCATTCATTTCGACAGTGGTTCTCACAAGTTTTCAATGTTTCAACGTTCTTATTAAATAAAGGTGGTGAAATTGGAGGAAAATTGATAGGGTTTGCGTTCTTACTATGTATTATAAATATTACTTTTATTCTTTATTTTGATCACTCTTTTCGTTAGGCTTTTTACCAGCTACCGAGTAATAGAATAATAATATATTGGTAGTAAGAGCGTGTCTGAGTGCAGCATCACTCAATTCCTCTATGTCTCGCTTCTACGCTAACAAGATTAATTTCACCCGCGTTAATTTCACAAGGTAATCGTATAGTCGACTTGCGTAATGAGATGAACGGTGAAAGCGTAAAACGGTAAGAGTAATACGTCAAATAGTTGTTAGGAATGCCATGTGAAGAAAAATAATCAAAGTTTATTTTTTAAATTCGAATATTAATCTAATGGCTTCCTTGTTAATCTTTGTTAATCGTTATTTCAGTATTATCATATTTACGAACGTATTATTTCATAATTAGCTAGACTCAAGAAACGAGCTGTTCAGGTAGGATAATCCGTTATACGTTGCCATAATCGATAATAACGGAGGAGAAATGACTAGTGAGCGAGGGTGATTTGCCGTTTCATTGATCGTCACTAAATTCTAACATTATGAAAGAACCATTTTTGTTGATCGTATATGATATCGATTATTCATTATATCGAAAAGACATGGAATAACGAATAGCGAATAGCAAAGCTGCGGAAAGCTTTGCACGCCTTTTTTATGGCTTCTTCTCCCTACGTACTTTGTTATCTCTAGCTAAAATATCTTTCAAGCAGTAATTCGACGAGAGAATTTTCTTTATTCGTTATTTTTTCTTACCAAATTTCTACTAATTTAGTAGACTAAAGGAAAAGGACTAGTAGGAAACAATACGAATATCATTGAAGAATATTACAATAATGAAATAATCAAATTGTAAGTAATTACTTATAATGATAAACATTGCAATACTGAAAATATAATTTTCACAACGTTGCTTTGCTGCACACTACTTACAAGTAAATTCATCATTTTTTGGGATAAACCGTGTATTTAGTTTCATGCAGGCATAATTAAGGTATTTATTATTGATCCACCTAATAGTTGGTTAGAATTATATTCCATTTCGAATTAGATTTTGTTTAATCTATAGAAATTTGATAGTGCCACTCTCGAGGAAGATAAGAAGAAACTAGAGATCTTTCTCACGATCAGGTCAAAAACGATTCGAGAAGGAGGAAGGCGGATAAACGTAAAGAAAAAAAGAAAGGGAGAGAGAAAGACCGATTCTTTTTCATTGTAAGAGTGGTACGTATACTATATGAGACGAAAGCACTTGAGTGCCTGATGCAGATCTGGCAAGTGTCAACAGCAAGGTCTACACTAGTACTCTCCATTCGATGATTTTCACCGCTTTACTTTTCACTTTTCCATAAGAAAAAAAAAAGATATAGACAAAAGAAAATACTTATAGAAATGAGATTAAATAATATAATATTTTCCAAATAATAATCAAGCCTTTTCAAAAGAACCGTGTTTTAACAAGCTTTCCGTTCAAATTCTTAACTTTTCAAATGCAACTCTCTATTAGACAAGACACCGCTCGTTGCATCCAAGCGAAAAATTGATGCATTCAAGGAAAGGAACATTTCTTGGTAATTATTGACTCTGACATAGAACACATGTCTACAATGAATGGGGTATTCATGTTTCCATGAATTTCTTCTCTAAAGAAAGATTAAACAGAAAACGTTTCGCTGTATCAATTGGAACAACTCATTATTCAATATATGATATAAAATCTACAATGTGTCCCTTTCGCAAAACAAACCTCTACCTACCCGGTATAACATTATGTATGGAAATACAGGAATAAAAATTAATTGTCCAGGATGTAAATCGTGGATAATATATAATAGAAAATAGATTCTGGAGATTAAAACAATAACGGAAATTGATAAGGCTTATCAACGTTTCAACGATCATTTTTGACGATTAGTTTTTCTTTTTTTCCTATTAAATTGGCAAAAAAGAAAAAAGCGTAATAGTAATTTTATGAAGTAATTTGTAGATGCAAATACACGAGGAAACGTTAAAGAACTTCTTCTTGGATGGTCGAAAAATTTAGTAGCTTCCTTTTTCGCTGATCGGGAGAAACAAAAGGCGGTTAGGAATCGTTAGGAGAAAAATGGAAAAGGAAAAAGACTCGTTGATTAACTAGTTCTCACTTTCTCTCTCCCTCTCCGTCTTCGTCACCAGGAGAGTACATATCCATATGCATTTTTATCTGCGTGTATTTACGTTTTTCTATTAGTGTTCGTGTATCTCTATGTGAGCACGCTGCGTGACGCGACGGCCTTTCGGCTTTGCCTAACAGCAACATGGCTTCCACCTGTATCCTCAAGAAATTTAACCAAGTCCTCGAAAACTTAACGAGAAAAGTCTACAATCGACTTGCCATCGAATTCCATGCTCGCAATCAGTTCTGAAAGAATTTTCATTCATTTTATTTCGAATTGTAAGACAAGTTTACACGATTGCTATATTAATATAGCATTTTTATTATTTTATTATATGAAGCATTTTTGGTATTTCCTTTCGAAATACCTTTGTGAGTTTCTTAATTACTTCGTTAAAGAATGCGGTTAAGGTAAAAGAGAATTTATCTAACGAGTCTAAGATAAAATCAATTTAACGTTCACTGCAAATTTCCAGGAAGAGGTAACACTAATTACCATCGATATTAGTCCTACTTAATCGCTAGAAACCTACTTTATCTCGGTTTCGATGAATATTATCATGATAATATTGACCAATATGACATTTGAAATACGTATCTCTATATCTAAGAAGAATAAACGACTGAAAGGATTGTAATAATCCTTGTTGTCAAGGATTCTTCGGTTCGGTGAAGATAATTAATTTTCGCGCAATTACCTAGGCGGGCGAAATAAGTAATACTCTCTCGGTTGCATATTGTACGTTATTGAGTTACGTATGTAGTACTATTACATACAGTACTATATATACGCTATATGGAAGTTTTCCTATAATATAATACAAAAGTTTACGAATACTCTCTGTTTACGGGAATCCTAGAATTAATCAATTAAAGAACGGATTTTACGCTTGAATCAGCAAATATGCGGAAAATCGTCTTGAGTTGCTGGTTCTTACGGTTGAAATTGGAGAATAATTTGGACTCGTGAAAATTTCTCTAAAAGCCAACTAAAGAGCTCATAAAGTATGAAAGTACAAAGCATGACGATGATGACGACGACGAGGTTCATCCAAGGAAAGACGCTGTTACAAGATTTACAACAATCGATATCTGCCGAGTTCGACGGACTGTGAACGTAGCCTATCGCGTGATCGAAAGAAACTTTCCAGTTTCCTGCCTGTAAATATGTCGAACGTACATACGCGTACGGTATGTACACCTATACCACGTACAGCACAATAACTTCAAATAGTACAAATAGTCTATCTCTACTTTAGAATTGTTCAAATCGTTATTATAAGAAACGAATCAATAAACGACAAATTTGAGCTACATTTCACGAGCACTTGCTTTAAACAATATTTCAACGACGTTTCATAATGAAAACTTATTATCCGATATCCTTTATATTTCGATACATATTATATTTTGTACATCATTTTGTACATCATTATAATTTTATTATAATAAATTATCATTATATCAATACATCATAGTAATGATGTATTACATATCTATATATTATTTTAATTGTTATTCGTTGTATAGGTAACCCTCCTATAACACGGTAGATAGGTTCCTAGAAAATGCCGTGTTGTGTGAAACCGTGTTGTATGAGACCCAAAGCCAAAAGCCTCGCCACGGCTGTAGAAGTACAGTACTTTACAAAGGTTTTTGCAATTTTCTTATCGTGTTATAGCGAAACCGTGTTATAAGATGCCGTGTTGAAGGAGGGTTAACTGTATTTTCTAATGTCCAATAATGTCTATTACTTAACCCACTATCATAATTGCCCTCACAAATGAATCATCTATCAATGTAGAAATTGTACGTTATTCATCAAATATATTTTCTTTTCTAAACTTTCCGTCACACATTTAAACGATCGATAACTCGCTAGAAGAAGGTTTACAATTAAGTCACCGAGGAGATTTCAATGATAGATCGTCCAAACGATTCTACGCTGCCCAACCAAGTTATTTTCGAAGATGGTATTTATTTGATTGCTTATTTAATGATTTGCATAATTTTTTAGCTCATAATAATTGTAACAATATACATAATAAAATAATTCCAAAGAAGAATTGCATTCAATGACGCGAATATCATTTATGTCAATAAATTTGACATAAAACAGTTTTTCGTATTGAAAACGTTAAGATAGGGCGGAACATCGAGCGTTTGTGATAAGTTATGCATATATGTATAATACATTGATTATTAGCATATGTACAGTATGCATTAAACCGTTCAATGTGAATAACAAAGGAAATTTCATTCGAATAACAATTAAATATCGAACTAAATCTTGTACGATTTTTCTTTTCGTATATATAAAAGGACAATAAGAAGCAATAAGAAAAAATAAAAAACAATAAAAAACAATGAATCGCTATAGATCGAGTTCGTTGACCGTACATATCGGTTAAAAACGATTCACCTTAGGTGAATTGTGGTCAAATCAATCGGATCGAGAAAAAATCTTTCGCACGCATGCACGCACGCAGGAATACGTCAAAATTTTACGCGCGTCGTATTCGAACACAAGAAAAGGAAGGTTCGACAAAATGGTGAGAGTGAAGGCATGGAAAGAGTGCAAAGAGGAGGGGGGGGGGAAGGTGCACGGTACGATGTGTAATATCTACCTGGACGAAAGAATTCACAGGAAAGACGTTCCTATTGAATAAGGAAAAAAGAAAAGAAAAGAAAAGATAAGAATAGAATAGGTAGAAAAGGAAAAGGACGATTCGCACAGTAGGTAGAAAGGATTTGACAATTTAGAAATTCCTGTTACTATTCAATATAGTTTAGAAACTTATTTCAATCTCACCTGCCACGACGTATCGTGCCTGCATTTTCTTCTTCCGCCGACGCCGCCGCCACCTTTCGTCCCTGTTGTCTCTGTCGTCGTCGTCGTCGTCGTCGTTCTTACGCAGGTAACACGCGATCGAAAAATTATTCGGTTCAGTTTTCAACCGCGTAACATATCGTTTTTTATATTAGTATCACGACAAATATTACTTTGCTATAATTGTATTTTTAATTATACGCTTTTTCTAAAGAAGATCGCAAACACTGATTCACGCATAGATAAAGCAAGTAGTTCCCCTCCTGTTGTCGTCGTCATATAGTATAGGTATATATTTCTCACAGCTGCTTTATTCTTCGTTGCTTCCTTCTTTTCTAAGCAAAACTACGAACCAAGAGCAACAGTCACGCGTTGCAATACCCATAAACCAGCAAAGTATACGCGTTAAAAGAGACTGCAGCACTCTTCCGGAGAACGTCGTCGGTTTACCTTCCCGCGACGAATACGATCCACCCCCGCTCCTGCCTTCGACCCCTCTTCACTTACCTATCCCCCCCTACTCCAACCGACTTTACCGTACACCTCAGTGGTTCTCAAATTCTTTCGAAAGAACTATTTTCAATTGAAATTTGTCGATTATCGATGATAGCGCATCTCCATGATTTTTTCAATTTTCTCATATTTTCTTTTTGTTTCTTTTCGTTTGTCTTACTCCGATTATTTTGAAAATGTTCTTTTGCAAAGAAAAGAAATTTTAAAAGAGGAGAAAGGATATTTTAAGAACTCAAGAGAGAAGCTTCATTATTCACATCAACACCAATGCCTCATGTACATGATGTGCGATTCTTTCGAATGGATCTAAACGTATATGTAGTTCGATGTCCTTTTCAATAGAATATGCGTTAATATATATATATATATATATATATATGTGTGTGT